TGCTAGTTGTACCTTGTCAAACATTATAAATAAATAATTGGCGTGCCATGCTAAGTAAGAGCATACAGTTTTCCCAGACTGGAAGGGGCAAGTTGTAAAAAAAAAAGTTAGGTTACCCGTGACGTGGATGGTTTAGGTAGGTGACCTAAGACACTAGCACGCATGCGCCCAGACATATATATTTATATAATATATATTATACACCGTGTAAGTAATTAACAAAGGTCTTCAAGTAGTGTCTTAGCTGTTGCCATGGCAACGTTCAACTTGAGCGCCTCGGCCAATGAACACCCGGTTCCTGACGGGTTGGTCAGCGATGAGACGAGGCTTGTGTTTCAGGTTAGTCGGGGGAGATGTGTGTTAATCTCTCAGGTGTTGTCTAGCTAAGTCTACTGTTTCCGGTTAGTCGGGGGAGATGTGTGTTACACTCACAGGTGTTGTCTAGCTGAGTTTACTGTTTCCGGTTAGTCGGGGGAGATGTGTGTTAATCTCTCAGGTGTTGTCTAGCTGAGTCTACTGTTTCCGGTTAGTCGGGGGAGATGTGTGTTAATCTCTCAGGTGTTGTCTAGCTGAGTCTACTGTTTCCGGTTAGTCGGGGGAGATGTGTGTTACACTCACAGGTGTAGTCTAGCTGAGTCTATTGTTTCAGGTTAGTCGGGGGAGATGTGTGTTACACTCACAGGTGTAGTCTAGCTGAGTCTACTGTTTCCGGTTAGTCGGGGGAGATGTGTGTTACACTCACAGGTGTAGTCTAGCTGAGTCTACTGTTTCCGGTTAGTCGGGGGAGATGTATGTTAATCTCTCAGGTGTTGTCTAGCTGAGTCTACTGGTTCCGGTTAGTCGGGGGAGATGTGTGTTACACTCACAGGTGTAGTCTAGCTGAGTCTACTGTTTCAGGTTAGTCGGGGGAGATGTGTGTTACACTCACAGGTGTAGTCTAGCTGAGTCTACTGTTTCCGGTTAGTCGGGGGAGATGTGTGTTAATCTCTCAGGTGTTGTCTAGCCGAGTCTATTGTTTCAGGTAACACTCACAGGTATTGTCTAGCTGAGTATATAAGATGAAGCTCTCAATAGTTTATTCTAAAAATAAGGGGCGTAGAAAGGGGGTGCGGAAGGGGTGGTCCGGACCACAGGCAGCACTTTTTTCCTTATATGGAAGGGCGGCATTTTCGGCCAACTGCAGTGGGATTTTTTAGTGGAAGGGGTGGCAAAAGGCATTGTTCGCCCCGGGTGGCACTAAGCCCAGAATATTTGATGGACCATAAATTGAATTAATAACTTTTAATGCTACTTAAAAAAATTTAATTTGTTTTTAAAAAAAAGAAAAGAATTTTGGTACAAAATCGAAACAAGTGCAAAGAATAAAGAAGCTCTTGGTCATTTTTGTTTTTTAATCTTTCAAATAAATTTTTCCTGCCACTAAAATATTGATGAGTTTTGTTGTTGTGTTGTTGTTGTTTTTTTTAATTCACAAATATTTTAGTTAAGAGCTTCACAGCACTTGTTTCGATTTTGTAACAAAATTATTTATTTAAAAAAAAGAAAATTTTCTTCATTGCAAATATTTTTTTTTAACGTTTTAATTTTGTACTCCCGAAAAACTGACGTATCTAATAATTCATCCATATAACAAAAGAGCCCCTTTTTTGGAAACAGATTCAGCTGCCCCATGTGCTGTCTTGAATCATTTAGAATTTAGTCAACGATAGCCTGGCCATTGAAAAATTTAGTTAATCTCTAAACAAGTGCAGATTTAATAAATGATTAATACAGCCGTAATTGTGAGGGAGTGGAGAGTATTTATAGGAAGAGAGAAGGTATTTTCAGGGGAGAAAAACAGCTAAACATGGGGAGTAATGTATTTGAAGAGGACAAGAAAAGTTGATTAAAATATGTTGTACAGAGAAAAATCATTTTTTTTTAAAATCTTGTTTGAGTTCTCATTCATTGCAGTCAAGCCTGCTTTAAACGCCACAGCTCACTATGAGGCCAGGTCAGATATTTTACAGGTACAAATACAGTGGCGTAGCTAGGGTTAGTGCCGACCTTGAAGGATAAAGATTCCTCCCCCCATCCCCCCCCCCCGCCTTCAGCGGAAGTTAGCCGAAAATGACACCTCTAAAATTGAAGAAAAATACCACCCGGGTCGAGCTCACCCCACCCCCTTTTGCCCACGCCACTGTACACGAAAATGAAAACCAAAAATGACGTCAAATTAAGATATTTTTGTAAAATAAAATGTGGTGTGACCTAGGCGGGGCAAGATTTAGGAACATTCTGGAGGTTTATTCATCCTGAATAAATCTGAAGTAGGCTAGTGTTTTCGGTGATTATTTTTTAATAAAGCTTTTCGCAAACTTTCGCGGATTTAATTTTAATAAAAAGCCTTCGTGTTTAATGACAAGATCTCAATTAAATTAAACTTCTCATCAAGGCCATAATAAAAACATTTACTTTAAACAACGATAACTCGTCTCATTCCTTTCACAAAAGTAACCACAAGGGCATTTCAGGTGTGTCGGTTATGGCCTTAGTATCCTACATGCCAGAAAAGGGCATTTCAGGTGTGTCGGTTATGGCTTTAGTATCCTACATGCCAGAAAGGGGCATTTCAGGTGTGTCGGTTATGGCTTTAGTATCCTACATGCCAGAAAAGGGCATTTCAGGTGTGTCGGTTATGGCTTTAGTATCCTACATGCCAGAAAAGGGCATTTCAGGTGTGTCGGTTATGGCCTTAGTATCCTACATGCCAGAAAAGGGCATTTCAGGTGTGTCGGTTATGGCCTTAGTATCCTACATGCCAGAAAAGAGCATTTGAGCAGAGTTGGTTATGGCCTTAGTATCCTACATGCCAGAAAAGGGCATTTCAGGTGTGTCGGTTATGACCTTAGTATCCTACATGCCAGAAAAGGGCATTTCAGGTGTGTCGGTTATGACCTTAGTATCCTACATGCCAGAAAAGGGCATTTCAGGTGTGTCGGTTATGGCCTTAGTATCCTACATGCCAGAAAAGGGCATTTCAGGTGTGTCGGTTATGACCTTAGTATCCTACATGCCAGAAAAGGGCATTTCAGGTGTGTCGGTTATGGCCTTAGTATCCTACATGCCAGAAAAGGGCATTTCAGGTGTGTCGGTTATGACCTTAGTATCCTACATGCCAGAAAAGGGCATTTCGGGTGTGTCGGTTATGACCTTAGTATCCTACATGCCAGAAAAGGGCATGTCAGCTGTGTCGGTTACGGTTCTTGTATCCAACGCGCCAGAAAATGGAGCTTTAAGTGTGTCAATTACATCCTTAATAACTTACACGCCAAAAAGGGCACTTGGTGTGTTCCATTGCGGCTTTTGTATCTTCCTTGCCAGCCATGGTGTGTTGTGAGAGACACAATATTGGTTCACTGGCACCAAATGGGATGAAGCACGTTCAGTCTTTTAGAAGGCTGTGTTGTAAAGTGTGTCACATTAGTAAAAGATCTACAAACTAGTTGGGTTGTGAGTAAATAAACAATAAACACTGGCAGACCAACAAATAACAACTGGCACTCCTGTGGGAGTTAAGACCAACAATCAACATTGGCACTCTTATTGGAGTTTAGACCGACAATTAACATTGGGACTCCTATTAGATTTTAGACCAACAATCAACACTGGCACTTCTGGAATATCTATGAACTTTTAAGCTTGACTTTTCCCCTTGTCCCATTTTATGCCGTTCATCAAGTTTTAACATATTATGTCTGTCATATTTCCCTTAACATCATCAGTGGTACTACAGCCATTTTACGACCCTGGGCTGCTACACCACACCCTTGCATTCAGACATCATCATCAGTGGTACTACACCTAATTTACTACCCTGGCCTGCGCTACCACATCCTTCCATTCAGGCATGATCATCAGTGGTACTACAGCCAATTTACGGCCCTGGCGTGCTACACCACATCCTTCCATTCAGACATCATCATCAGTGGTACTACAGCCAATTTACGGCCCTGTCCTGCACTACCACATCCTTCCATTCAGACATCATCATCAGTGGTACTACAGCCAATGTACGGCCCTGTCCTGCACTACCACATCCTTCCATTCAGTCATCATCATCAGTGGTACTACAGCCAATTTACCACCCTGTCCTGCACTACCACATCCTTCCATTCGGATCTTCCCATGGCTTTCCGCCTCCACCTGGTGTAAGTCCTTCTCCACATCGTCAATCCCTCTCAGTTTTGGGGCGACAAGTGAGCCCTCTTCCCCTAGGTTTCTTTTTGCTACTCTACAATCCGGCATCTTTCAGTTTGTCCTGTTCAGCCCAGTCTGCTTGTTTCTATTGTTGTGACTATGTTTGGGCCTTAGTACATTTGATATATCTCTCTTCTACGTGTTCTCCAAACATCTTTGTCTATCACTCGGCCATATATTTTCCTGAGGATCTTCCTCTCCCACGTAGTGAGCAGGTTCTCCGCTTTTCTGGTAAGGGACCAAGTCTCCCTAGCGGAAGTTACTGCTGGTGTTATGATAGTGGTGTATACTGTGACACTGTCTTCTGCGTTCCCCTCGAAAGGTCTTTGCTTCCTTGTAGCTTTTGTAGGCTGAAGTAAGAACACTTGCCTGGTGTTATCCCTTTTTCACCTCCGTCATTATTTCATTGTGCTCATTTATAGACGTCCCTAGATATTTAAAATTATAGCCCATCCCTCAATTCCCTTATGAAGACATTGTTTCAAATGAATCTGTCTTCGCCGATAACTTCATCTGTGACTGTGTCTTTACTGTTAAATTTTTCGCTAAACTGACGCTTAGTGCACTTGCAGTGTACAAAAATAGTTTCTTATATATATACAATGTAAAAGCAAGCGTTTTATTTATGTATTCTATTTCATATTTTAAAATATTATTATTATTATTTTATTTATTTTGTGCGGAGCGGTGTAATGAGAATAACGCACTCTATGTGTTTGAAGAATCATTACTGGTGTAAAATGCACTGACTTTGAGATACAATGTTTCAGATTGTCAACTTCGCCACCATCTGCCAAGCCATCGACGTCTTCGGGACGGTCACCAACATCATTAACTTGATCGTCTTCTACAAGCTTGGGTTCAACGACCCCGTCAACGTCAGCCTGTTCGGCCTGGCCCTCTCCGACCTCGGCTGCCTGGTCACACTCATCTGGCTCAACACTTGCTTCAACCCACTCTTCAACCAGTCCGACATCCCGTTCGACGCGCTCGAAGTCCAGTACCTGACAGCGGGCTGGCCCCATGTGAGTTTCACCAGAGTCACCAGCTGGATAACGGCGTGTATCACCCTCGAGCGCTGCTTGTGTATAACCCTACCTTTACAGGTGAAAACGATCGTCACCCCACGGCGTGTCGCCCTCATCGTCCTGGGGATCTTTTTCATCATGGTGGTCAGCACACTTCCGGTCTACTACTGCAATCGGTTTGCGTGGAAATTCTACCCGGACAGGAATAGAACCCTGATCGGTCTCGTCTTCACCGAGGACAGGGAGGCCATCGAGAAGGTTTTATTCGCCATCAACAACGTCTTCATCCCCTTTTCGGCGTTCGGCGCGGTCATCATATGCACGGTGGTTCTGGTCGTGAAACTGAAACAGAAAACAAAATGGCGCAAGACGTCAACGGCTCCGGGAAAATCCGATAACGTGTCGAGCCGAGACCAGAAGGTGTCCCGCATGATCGTCATGGTGTCGACTCTGTTCATCGTCTGCTTCACGCCGATGACGGTGTTCTTCGTGGGGATGATCGTGGTACCGGAGCTCTCCATCGTCGGCACGTACAGAAACATCTTCTTCATCATTTCGTCCTTTTCTTTTATTTTAGAGTCCACAAATTCATCGCTCAACATTTTTATCTACTACCACATGAGCAGCAGGTACAAGGCTGTCTTTAACCAACTCTTCGGCATCACCAGTAAAACAATTGATACTAAAGATGATATGTAATCCGTTGTTCGGGGGGGGGGGTGAAATAAAGGGAAAATAGGGCGGAAATATCTCAACAATCGTAAAGAAGATCTAGAGACGAGGTCTGAGTGAAAGCCTTAGTAGAAACTCTTTACTTCTTTTGACTCGCTCTATGACAGTTTGTTTGGGGGGGAAGGGGGGGGGGGCTGGTTGCTAGGTCAATTATTATTTTTTTCTTTCTATATAGCATCATTTCAGCAACGTCTGAATTAGAAAACGAATGCTTATACCGGTGCTGTATTACAAAACAGATGAAATCATGAAGTTGATTAAAAATGAAATCATGAAGTTGATTAAAAATTAAATCATGAAGTTGTCATGAATTATTATAATTGAAATCACGAAACTGATTAAAGAGGAAATCATGAAGTTGATTAAAGATGAAATCATGAAGTTGTTTAAAGATGAAATCATGAAGTTGATTAAAGATGAAATCATGAAGTTGATTAAAGATGAAATCATGAAGTTGATTAAAGATGAAATCGTGAAGTTGATTAAAGATGAAATCATGAAGTTGATTAAAAATGAAATCATGAAGTTGTCATGAATTATTATAATTGAAATCATGAAACTGATTAAAGAGGAAATCATGAAGTTGATTAAAGATGAAATCATGAAGTTGATTAAAGATGAAATCATGAAGTTGATTAAAGATGAAATCGTGAAGTTGATTAAAGATGAAATCGTGAAGTTGATTAAAGATGAAATCGTGAAGTTGTCATGAATTATTATAATTGAAATCATGAAACTGATTAAAGATGAAATCATGAAGTTGTTTAAAGATGAAATCATGAAGTTGATTAAAAATGAAATCATGAAGTTGATTAAAGATGAAATCATGAAGTTGTCGTGAATTATTATAATTGAAATCATGAAACTTATTAAAGATGAAATCATGAAGTTGATTAAAGATGAAATCATGAAGTTGTTTAAAGATGAAATCATGAAGTTGTTTAAAGATGAAATCATGAAGTTGATTAAAGATGAAATCATGAAGTTGATTAAAAATGAAATCATGAAATTGTCATGAATTATTATAATTGAAATCATGAAACTGATTAAAGAGGAACTCATGAAGTTGATTAAAGATGAAATCATGAAGTTGTTTAAAGATGAAATCATGAAGTTGATTAAAAATGAAATCATGAAGTTGATTAAAGATGAAATCATGAAGTTGATTAAAGATGAAATCGTGAAGTTGATTAAAGATGAAATCGTGAAGTTGATTAAAGATGAAATCGTGAAGTTGTCATGAATTATTATAATTGAAATCATGAAACTGATTAAAGATGAAATCATGAAGTTGTTTAAAGATGAAATCATGAAGTTGATTAAAAATGAAATCATGAAGTTGATTAAAGATGAAATCATGAAGTTGATTACAGATGAAATCATGAAGTTGATTAAGGATGAAATCGTGAAGTTGATTAAAGATGAAATCGTGAAGTTGATTAAAGATGAAATCGTGAAGTTGATTGTCTTTTATTTTCAAGTATATGAAATGAATTGGAAAAAATTGTATGCTAAATTGATTAACTTGGTGTAGGCTACATTATGAATTGTTCTAGTTTTTCTTTTTTTTTAAGTCTCATGTTCTAAAATGACCAAGTTTTTAAACGAGCCTTATTTTACAACCCTTCTGATGCACCTTGCAAACAAGTAAGCAACCCAGAGAGTGGTGTAACTAGGGTTAGTGACGCCCGGGGTGGGCCAAACTGGCTGAGTGGTCCACACTGCGTAAATCTCAAATTGATGGTCTGCAGATCAATGCCCAGTCAAGCAAAAACATCACAAGCACCCCGGGTGGATGGAACTCGTTAACCTTGGATGGCAGCTTATCTAAGAAAAGGAAACTCTGAATTCGAACCCAGAGATGGAGTCCCGTAGGCGGATAACATTGGTACAATGAAACATTCCGGCAAATCCTGCGTGGAGAGGGGCGATTTGCTGAAGTCGACACCATCGTCATATTGTGACGGACGAATGCCACCAGCATCAATCATTTGGTTTTAAAAAACGTAAACCTTTAATTTGTACTTGTTCGTAAAAAGTATAATATGTTTTGTACCTTTTAAAATTTTGTTATTTTAGTTTTCATTTTTTTTAAATGTAATTCTTTTCTGTTACCGTTCCAGTTCAGAATACTATTATAAATGAAGCAAAGTTGTTGTTGTTTTTTTTAAATTATTAAACAGCAGAGACAAAGAATATTGGGTAGGATATTTAATTGTGTTTATTTATTTTTTTAAGACAGTGTAAATTTGGTGGCGAGGAGTCGGTTAAATTTAACATAGTGGACTTGAATGAAAAATAGTGAAGGCTAATTTCAAAAGAAAATTAAAATAGAAAGAAAACGTGAAGTAATATACGGCTGCAATCTCCTTTTTTCCCATTCCACTTTTTACTTCTTGCTTTTCCTACCCACAATTCAAATATATAGACACACACATTCTAGTTCAATACAGAGCTGAAGAGGATAGCGTTCAATTGTTAACAAAATGAAATTTAATTTTTTTTTAAAAGTTGTTTTTTTTTTTTTCTTTTCTTTTTGAATGTCACATTTGCGAAGAGGGTTCTCAATCAAAACAAGATGAGGTAACAAAAGTTCCTACTGCTCTTTCAAATTTCAACAATATTTATTCGTGAAATTTAATAAATTTTTAAGAAGTAACAGTCAATCTTTTAACCCCAGAGTCAGATGAAAGTATCAAAGTCATTCAGATTCAAATATAAACAAATGTTAATGTTGTTTAAAATAATAAAGTGATTTCTCCAAAACTTGATTCGGAAATGTTTTCAATTCATTTATAATTAAGTAAAATTTGATTCAGTTTATTTTCCTTTTTTATATTTATTGTGCATGATTTTGCTCCTTCGTGTTCTTGGAACAACAAGCTGTGAATCGATACTAACTCTCAACGGAACAGTTCATCCAACATTGTAAAGAAGGTGAGAGCGAACTCTACGGACTCCACCGCCAAGCATCGTTCATTATCGATGAAATCACAGTTCTGCCAAACATGGTCTCCGATGCATGGATATCCTTCTTCGCGAGGTAATGAAGATTGAGAAGCCCTCTGGCGGAGAAGTTTTTGTTATGGTAGGAGACTGCCGGCCGACTCTTCCAGTGGTGATGAAAAGGCATACGAGCTGACATCATCGAATGCTGTTTCAAGTCAAATACTTTGTGGAGCAACGACATAAAACTGGTACTGACGAAAAGCATGCGCAGTGAAGTTAAAAACAAGAACAATAAATTGGCTTCTTCGTGTCGGAACTGGAAATCTGGAGCCAGTTCCAGGAATATATTATAAAGACACAACTGGGATTCCTCAACAAATGATCGCTTCCAATCATCTCTTCGAATCCATCTTTGGATCGGATATATATTAGAAGTCTTTCTAAGACTTAACGGTCCGACCAATAAATAAGCACTCGAAATAAACCACAAGATGAATGCACTGCTGCCTGGCGATCCAGCCATTTATTGCAGCGCAGATTCGTTCATTTCAGAAAATTCAAACGATGCAGCCAACTATTCAGTCATATTCCTTAATGATCAGTGTTAATATGTAGAACATCCCTCGAAGGTCACGGAAGCCAGCAGTAGTTATCCCAGATTCCTCCACACCAAGGTCATACATTGTTAAAACACCAGATGGGATGACATATCGGCGAAATTAGAAAAATGTTAAAAGAGACATTTAGCAGGCAAAGCAGTACTCCAGATGTATTCAAACTGGACTGCCCCGATACAACACAAGAACCACAACTCACCAACCCAGAGGTTGTAAAATAGACTGTAGTGATAGTGTCGCTACCAAGTGCCATCAATCCTGTTCCAGCACATCCTATTCCAGCACATCCTATTCCAGCACATCCTATTCCAGCACATCCTATTCCAGCACATCCTATTCCAGCACATCCTATTCCAGCCCATCCTATTCCAGCACATCCTATTCCAGCACATCCTAATCAAGCACATCCTATTCCAGCACATCCTATTCCAGCACATCCTATTCCAGCACATCCTAATCAAGCACATCCTATTCAAGCACAAGTGGTAACAAGATATGGCAGGCAAGTGAAACCACCAATACGCTTCCCTGATAGAGATATGTAAAAGATACATTGCCATACAAATACAATGCAAAGTGATATTTGAACTATTTGTGCATACAAAATTGTTGGATAATATTTCACTATTACTACTGATGTAATGGTGCATACATATTAACTATTGATTGTCTTATTAAAAGGGCTGACGATTATTGTTGTGTGTATTTAGTGAACTTTGAGACCGGATTGGCCTGTGTTGTTGTCATGTGGTATGACTGGACGTGTCGAGTTGTTTTCATGAATATTTAAACTTAAATGTGTGGATATTGGTTGTAGAAAAAGGGTGAGTGATCACGTGCATTTGCCGGCCCAACCATTTGGAACGCAGTACCAGTCGCTCTCAGAAACAGCCAGACACTGGCGCCCTTTAAAACCGATTTAAAAACACATCTATTTCGCAAACACCTTCTGGGGTGATGCTACCTACCATATTTTTCAGTTAATGAATATTGGCCTGTGTTGCTTATGGTTGAAACGGGATGAAAGACTTTGACTTGGTGTGCTCGTATGTAGCTTTATATTGTTGCGTCTGTTTTTAAAGGTGGTAAATTTTAGATTGTTTTTATTTCTCTTTTTAATATGGTTGACTTTGTACCGCGCTTCGAGCTTTTGGGGATGAAGCGTGTTTTTCAAATAAACTTTATTATTATTATTATTATTATTATGTGAGCTATAGAGAGAATGTAGAATGAGGAATAAAGAGTTGTTACACAGACCACAGACGAGTTGGGATCATACTTTACTATTGCAGTCTCTTCAGAGAATCCAAACGATGCAGCCAACTATTCAGTGGAATTGCTCAACGACCAGGCTTTCTCAGGCATGCCTCCTCACAGGGGTGTAGCTAGGGAGGTGCTTTGGGGGGTGCGGACCAGACCGCACCGGGTGACACCATCTCTAGGTTACGCCACTGCCTCCTCGTAAAATGATGATAAAGAAAGGCGTAGCTCATCATGCAGCGGAGAACTCTCAATCAAAAGAAGCGATTGTGCAACGATACTCGAGTGAGTCTAAGGGACCCTCAGCACAACGTCATCACTATGTAAAACATATCCCAGAATGTAATCGTCGTGGCAGTGTTTTCATCATACGAATTTACCTTGCGCATAGCGATAATCCTCTATTCTTCCTTCTAGGACACTATTCTATTCTTCCTTATGCGACAATACTCTATTCTTCCTTCTGCGACAATTCTCTATTCTTCCTTATGCGACCATACTCTATTCTTCCTTCTGCGACAATACTCAATTCTTTCTTATGCGACAATACTCTATTCTTCCTTATGCGACAATACTCCATTCTTCCTTATGCGACCATACTATATTCTTCCTTATGCGACAATACTCTATTCTTCCTTCTGCGACAATTCTCTATTCTTCCTTATGCGACCATACTCTATTCTTCCTTCTGCGACAATACTCAATTCTTTCTTATGCGACAATACTCTATTCTTCCTTATGCGACAATACTCCATTCTTCCTTATGCGACCATACTATATTCTTCCTTATGCGACAATACTCTATTCTTCCTTATGTGACAATACTCTATTCTTCCTTTTGCGACAATACTCTATTCTTCCTTCTGCGACGTCGACCATTCCCCATCATTTCGCGGCTGATGCAATAACAAGCAACACATCTTAAGGACTGGCATTCGATCACTCGTTTTCTCGCATGGACACCTTTATGCCGCATTGTCCCGATGAAGAAGTCCCAAGCAAGTGAAAGTAACAATTCACCCAAACCTCTAACAAGGACAACTACTGCAGGATCAACACAAAGAAACTCGATCCTAATTTCTATGTGAACCACAAGAACTGCCTTGCTCCAACATGAAGCCATGACTCGCCCTACTTATGGCCCGATTTGAGAAAGCTAAAGCCATGACTCATCCTACTTATGGCCTGATTTGAGAAAGCTAAAGCCATGACTCGCCCTACTTATGGCCCGATTTGAGAAAGCTAAAGCCATGACTCGCCCTACTTATGGCCCGATTTGAGAAAGCTAAAGCCATGACTCGCCCTACTTATGGCCCGATTTGAGAAAGCTAAAGCCATGACTCACCCTACTTATGGCCCGATTTGAGAGAACTGAAGCCATGACTCGCCCCACTTATGGCCCGATTTGAGAGAACTGAAGCCATGACTCGCCCCACTTATGGCCCGATTTGAGAAAACTGAAGCCATGACTCGCCCAACTTGTGGCCTGATTTGAGAAAGCTTGCAAAATAAAAAATGTTCTGAAATTTTCTAAACTCTTGCTCTCCTTGGTTTTCCACAGTAAAATATATAGACACAATGTGAACGGCACCATAATTTTGTCCCATTATTTCAATCAAGTTTTTTGGGGGGGTGAAAGGTACCATTTAACGCTCTCTAATTTTTATTTTTAAATGACAATTTAATCATTTTTAAAATTTATAGTTAATATAAGAAAAGATGCCCTTATTGATTAAAGATGAAAATTAGTTTTGATCCCAGAGGCAAAGTATTGTTTTTGTGTCTCGAAAGTCATTGTCAGATTTTTGCTGTCCTCTAAAATTGTTCTGAAGCAATGCATTCGACGAATGGTTAGTTTCTGAGAGGTGTTTGGATTCTAGAGTATACATTGCCATTTTGAATAATATTCTGGGCTTATTTTTTAGTGAATTCTCTGTTGTATATGTAGGTAATAATAACATAATCACCACACAAAAAAGTTTCTATTAAAGTATTCAAAACAATTAATTAATAACTGATTGTGGCATTTACTCAAATGAAAATTAAAACATGGATAAATATTAGACTGCACTTTCATTGCTATATATATTGAGTTCGACTGACGATATATATATATATATATATATATATATATATATATATNTATACTATATATATCTACAACAAACAAGTTTTATAAAACTCATACTTAAATAAATTAGATCTAATCATAATTAAATATTGATTCTTATTCGTCACATAAAATAGGGTAGATAGCGAAAGGCGCGAAGGTGAACGAGTTAGATAGCTAGTTCCGGTTACATTCGGAACTGGCGCCGGTATCTTGCGCAGTATATTTCCCCATGTGCATTACTCAAAATTAAAATGGCTGACCCGATGGAGGTAATGCATGAATTCTGCGCTCTGTAAATTTGATATATCTGAAACTTGTATCACTATTATATAGAAATAATTACTAATTTTCATTTTATATTATGTTAACTTTATATTCTATTTAAAATGAATAGGCATTTATAAATGAATCGAAGAAAATTCAGTATTTCTTTTAAAATATTAATTTTGAATTTATTGCGTGCGGATGCGCCACGGTGCGCTCAAAATCAAAAAGCCAACTGTGATTTTGAATATAACTTGGCCAGGTCTCTAAAACATCTATACCTGTACTTTTTCATGCATCTCCGTAGACTAATGCATATTTGGTCTATTGATAATATATTTTTTGTAAATGTATTGTAATATTATTATGAATATTAAACAAATTATAGGTTTGGGGCCTATTTCTATTACCTAAATGCCTAAATTATTAGTAGGCAGTATCAGTTCAGTAGGTTACTTAATCAAAGCAAAAGACTCTGGATTTAAAATTTAGTGAAAGTATTGGTAGTATTGTTAGCCGCCATGGGTTTTGCCAAGAGTTGTCTTACCCTACCCTAAGTACATTTGAAGGGAACAAAGAAAAATATGTTCAACTTAACTTTCCAGTTCTTCATTGAGCATTATTTGCATCACAATATAAATTTAAACGATAGTCCTACATTCAGGGTGCTGGGTGGCTGAGCAAATCTCAAGTTGGTGGTCTGGAGTTCAATTCCAGCTAGAGCAAAAACACCACCAGCACCCTGGGTAGATGGGACTCGTTAACCTTGGACGGCAACTCATCTAAGAGAAGGAAACTCTGAAATCAAACCCGGAGATGGAGTCCCGAAAGGCGGATAACATTGATACAATGAAACATTCCGACAACTCCTGCGACGTCACTGGTGCCAAGCTGTATCATCCAATGATGTTCCCTTGGGTTACCCAGCGGCGTGGAGAGAGACGATTTGCTGTTGGGAACCAGCGTATAATCCTTCAAGTATAATAATCCCAGGCTATGTGGATTTCGTCCTACGAAGCCCACTCCATCGTCACATTGTGACGGACGGATGCCAGCAAAAAAAAAAGTCCTACATTTAATATGAAATATATTTTAAATGAAACTATTTATTTTAATAATTCAAAATAGTCAGTGTCTACATGTCCGGCGCGCCGGACATATATCTCCCGCACTATTTGTCCGGTGACCTAGTCACATGACCGCCGTAACAAAGTGATGAGAGATATCTTGTCGGTCAGCCTTGTCACGTGACTGCGAATGATTTAAAACTATTGTTAATTTTAAAATATATTTCTCTACCAAGTAATAATGTACTGAGTATCTTGAATGCAAATAATAGAAAAAAACTTAGTGAAAGTGGCTTGTAAACATTTTTGTTTAGTTTATTTCAGTTTGTGCACCAGTAATCCATAAAATAAATTAGGGGCCTGTGTGGAGTAGGCAACCAATAAAAGTAAAAGATTTCATTTTAAATTGTTACAAAATATTTAAAAACTTCTCATGAAACTACTGTTGCTGATGAATATGATAATATAAATATAGTATAAAATATTTTACATTAAAATGGGAGTTAAAAAAACGATCCTATCCCCGGTATTGATCCTCAAATCATAATATCGTCAAGTGACCACTAGACCACACAATATCTTCCAAACAGTACTTCGTTCGGAATTATAAAAATACTAGCCGTCCGGCGGTATGTCACGTGACATGGACGTATATCTTGCGCACTATTTGTCAGGCGCGCCAGACATGTAGACACTTCGTTCAAAATACAAGGTTTAAACAAATTTTTTTTAAAGAAGACACTCGTCCTTGCTGATAACTTATAACCCAGAGCCATGCCAATATGAACACCAGAAAAAGATGAGCTATTCATTTCTATCGCTATCGTTTTCAGATAATTTTCTGGAGAGGGAGACCCCAATTTGATACAAAATAAGAAACTAAGGATTCATCTGCAATAATTCCATTAGTCTGTTTTGATTTCAAATCTAGAAGGGTACCATTTACATCACTATATTAGCATCAGACGTAATGGCAGTCAAAATACAAAATTTCACTCTTGATAATCGATAAAAGTTTAACACGCATGTTAATTAACTCTTCCAGACCACGGCGCGTCTTTTTGCAGTGACCTACTTTTTCCCTGTGATCCAAGCGCGTCTTTTTCACCAGAATATTGTTTCCCCTATGGCCCACGCGCATCTATTTGCCACATAGAACATAGAGGGGTATCTAACAAACACAGAAATGAGGATATAACCTTTTCACCAGTCTCAGGCAGAATGTTTATTCGTTAGGGGAATAGTCAAATTTTTAATTTGCCTTTTAAATTATGAAAATCGACCAATTACCGAGTTTTTTGTGTGGATCTGTATTTGTTGTTTCCATGGCGCTATTGACTAGTGTTCATGACTGACTTAGAGGGGTATCTAATATAAACACTGAAACGAGGGTTTCACCTTTCACCACAGTCTCTGGCAGATTGTTTATTTGTTAGGGGAATAGTCGAATTTTAATTTGCCTTTCAAACTATGAAAATCGACTGATTACAGAGTTTTTTGAGCGGATCTTTTTATTAGTTGTTTTTTGAGCGGATCTTTTTATTAGTTGTTTCCATGGCGCTACCCATCGCTATTGTTGATGGTGACTTAGGCCCACTTGATGAAACCTTTTGTTCTGAAAATATAATTGAGCTTTAATTGGGATCAGAAGTTGTTTTTTTTAACACCCGTATCCATTTCTGAACAGATAATTCTCATATTATGTTATCAATTGTTTCAAACAAAAAAAGTTAAAAAATAATTAACAGACCTATTAAATTTAGGCTCATTCCAAAATAATGTCTGGGCCACAGGGAATGATTAGCAAAATAATAGCCCATACTGAGGCAATAAAAGCAAAAAGTAGGTCAGCATCGTAAGGGTTAACACACTAAAAGAAGAAGAAACGAAAATAGAAAGCAAACTATAATACCTATAGTATAAGCGATAACCCTTAACCAAACATTCATTAAATTTTAAACCTTTTTAAAGATGATTTTGCTAGCGACTGATAGAGTAATGTCCAATGATTGGCCATTATGACAGTTATAGGGTTAAAATAGGCTAGTGAAAGAGGACAGTATTGAAAAACACTTTCGGTGAACCTTCGTTATAATCGGTGGGTAGAGCGCAATCCTTCCTAAACACATACTAAAGATACCTTGTCCGATTATACTTTCAGAAAATGTAAGCCTACATTGGTAAGGGTATCTGAATTAATTTAGCTTGGGATTTTGTCATTTTTGACAAGCTTGTGAAAATGTTTTAAACATTGGCTTGACACAGCTAAATCCACTTACAGTTGTAGGGTTTATGGTGGACAACTCGATGCTCCCGAACATTGCTTAAGTCAGGATAAACCATGATTGAATCAAGTTTCATTATTTCCTTTAATTATAACTACACATGATGTAGCTATTACTTTAATACATATATTTTGCGGTGTATGTTTAACATATATGGACTAAAAATGATTTCACATGGCATAATATAATCAGTGTAAAAATGAAATTTGTCTTGAATAAGATTAAAGATAATAATTAATGGAGTTGGTTTATTGTCTGACATGTGGCATAGTCTTTCAATCTCAAGAATATCTATATACTGCTAACTGGACATCTGAATATGGCAATTGAAAAGTGATAATTGTGCCACTGAGGGTTGACAGAAACCAACTGTTTATGGCCCATTATAATAGTTTTTTTCTTTGATCATTCATTTCAGTCCGTTCCCAGCAGCAGCGGTGATGTTAACACAAATGCTCAAATTGAATCATGTAACATAGCTAAAGAAGAAGAAGATGGAAAGGTTAATGGCCACATTGCACCAGATGAGATGACATCTAAGGACTATTACTTTGATTCTTATGCACACTTCGGTATTCATGAGGTAATTTTTATTTTTTCACCTTTAATTAAACTAGACTAACTTAACTTCAAGTAAAACAAAAAGTGTGTGTGTGGTAACGTCAAAACGCTCAGCTGATTTTCTATTTCACAATGACAATCTTATTTTAAATTATATAGGAAATGCTTAAGGATGAAGTACGCACCTTGACATACAGAAATTCAATGTACTATAACAAGCACCTCTTCAAAGACAAGGTTGTTTTAGATGTTGGATGTGGCACTGGTATCCTGTGTATGTTTGCTGCCAAAGCTGGAGCTCGACGAGTCATTGGGGTGTGTTCCATTTTTTAATTAAAAATCTCTCTGCCAATAATAACGATCTTATTTGTATCAATCTTGAAATGGAGACAAAGCTAATTCAGTAGTTGGCTATGGCATAACCTTAAGTACTTATTACATTACTAATTCAGAAAGTTTTATGTATGAATTGTTTTGTATTGTCTCTCCCATACAGATTGAGTGTTCCAGTATAATTGACTATGCTGAGAAGATAGTTGCTGCTAACAAACTTGATAAAGGTGCATATTAAGGACATATGATCCTAATTTTAAAAAATGTTCATTTTTAAATTTTACTTCTATTTTCTGTTTTGAAGAGTGATAATTGTGCCACTGATAGAAACAATTATACCTCTTTATGAACCTTTTCTAGATTGTCAATTGTTTTTACATCAATTATTTTCAGTTATCTCCCTTGTGAGAGGAAAAGTAGAGGAAGTCTGTCTTCCCCCTGACATTGACAAGGTTGACATTATTATCTCTGAATGGATGGGTTACTGTCTTTTCTATGAATCCATGCTAAACACAGTTATCTTTGCAAGAGACAAATGGCTGGTAAGGCAAACATATTTTTATTAATTTATAATTCTTCTGAATTATTCAATTTATTTAATTTATTGGTGTGCAATTTACACTGAAGTGAAAATGGTTAAAGCACACAAATAACATATCAATGGAAAAAGCTGGCTTTCAGAGTTATACATTTTTGTAATGAATTATTTTTCCCCACTATTTGGCTTTATTAATTTTAAAAACTGATCGAATTATTACTCTTTTTTTTTTTTACTGCTGTTCAGATGGTGACCGTCCATATGTTCTGAAATACTCAAATATTACAAAGAAAGCTTTTAATATTCTACATACATTTTTTTTTATTGTGCACATGGTTGGTGGTTCTGGCTACAAAGCTCTAGCATTGTCCATCAGTATCAAATTGGAGGGTTGGTTGAGTTACTTGAGTGTAGAATCTATTGTTTGCAATAAATTAATGGAACTAAAGATAAGCCATAATCAATTAAGCTGTAAAAAAAAAAAGCTCCATAAGACAAAGTAAAAGTTAAAAAACTACCAACTCCAAATGATTGAGACCTTCAGTAGTCATCCGTTGGCAAGTAAAACTTTTCCCATGAAACTCCCAAATAAAATGTTAAAACATAAGATTTTACTTCAATTTTAACAGTAAAAGTAAATAACACTTGAGGTTACCTAAGACTGATGGTTGAATGGCATGTTAACGGTTATTAATGATACGTATATATAGAATCCTTCCGTCTTCATGGGACGGTTGGAGTTGCTATTTACACATCATTAAATGGTTTACGAGGTTTATCCTGGAATGGCTGTCTCAGCTGCATTTCTGGTTGAGGAACCTTGACTCCTGATTAACTTGGGGCTTTCATAATGCTCTTTTTGTTGCCAGGGCTTTATTTGGTGCATCTTTTGCATTGATTCCTTCATACACTAGTGTTCGCCAGCATACACTAGTGTTCACCAGCTAATATGGTGTTCAACTATGATCTCCCATGCATTGATTTCTACATTTTCTTCACTCAGGCTTCTTTTGAAAACGCCCTTTAGTCGTAGCCGTGGTATTCCAATAAGTCTTGCCCCTTATGCGAACTCTCCATACAGCAGATCCTTCAGAATATGGCCTTCCTCCACTCTCCTTACATGGCCTAACCTTTGCACCTGTTGCTAAGAGCGGAGAGCATGTTGCTCATTTTGGCACCTTGTCCTTCCATCGAATGCACAAAATGTGCTGCAGACATCTTTATCTTTGATGGAATCTGTTCCGTCATGACTGGCATATATTGTCTTCACTGACATGTAGTAGTGTACCAAGCACACATGCCTGATGGATGTTTACTTTAGTATTTTCTGTTAGTTTAATTTTATTCCACGCCCTCTTATGCAGTTTAGCCATAGTAGCTGCTGTTTTTATGATCCAGATGTTCACATCCTCAATGGAGAGTGAACCAATATATTAATTTTGATCTCAGGTATTTGAAATTCTCAACTGCTGACAGGTTATGGCCCTCAATAGTTATATTCGAGTTGACTGTGCTTCCTGCAACATAACATCTGTTTTCTGTTAGAATAATGCTTCACAAGCATGAGAGGCCATCTTTAAATCATTAATATGTTTGTCCGGTTTGTCCAGACTTATCATGGACTGTATTGTTTGTTTTCTTCCTTCAAGCAACCTGATGGTCTTATATTTCCTGATCGGGCTACTTTGTATGTCACTGCCATTGAGGACAGGCAGTACAAGGATGAGAAAATAAATTGTAAGTATTTTTAAACTAGAAATTGTCAACCACCGACATGGGTTGAAGTTGCATTTTTAAGAAAATTTGGTCATTAACTGTATTTATGACAAGTTTACTTATGGACACGTTGATTCGTGTTATAGGTCAGTCAAACTAGTTGATATTTTAAACATATGTAGACCACTTGTTCAAGTCTCTTTGTAACATTTAATGTATGTTATGTTTTTTATTTATTTTTTCCATGCAGGGTGGGACAGTGTTTATGGGTTTGATATGAGTTGTATACGAGATGTGGCTATAAGAGAGCCCCTTGTTGATGTTGTGGATCCCAAGCAAGTTGTTACTAATTCTTTCCTGGTCAAAGTAAGTTATTATTTTTTTTATATACATTTATGTCATTCACGATAGAAGCAGTAACTTCACAAAATGTTATAGATCAGTGGTTCTCAACCTTTTTAATGCCGCGACCCTTTAATACAGTTCCTCATGTTGTGGCGACCCCTAAACACAAAATTATTTTCGTTGCTACTTCATAACTGTAGAGGATATGTGTTTTTCGATGGTCTTAGGCGACCCCTGTAAAATGGTCGTGTGACCCACAGGTTGAGAACCGCGGTTGTAGATGATCTTTTGTGCGTCAAAAGTCTTACTCCTCTTTGTTTTAATTGATGATTCCCTGAATGTTTTTTTGTGCCTACAAATCTTTATGCATTTTATTTCTCCTCAGGAGGTAGACATCTATACTGTAAAGGAAGGGGATATTGCTTTTACTGCTCCATTTCGCCTCACTTGTAGACGTAATGATTACCTTCATGCTTTGGTTACTTTCTTCAACATTGAATTCACAAAGTGTCATAAGCGTACAGGTTTCTCAACGTGTAAGTCTTAGGTTATTTTTAACATTATGTGAATTATTTTGGAATTGTTTTGAGTTCTTATTTCCATAGGCGTATTTCAAATCTTTCTGTAGCATGGTTTTATTATATTAATGATTTTATTTTAGCCCCTGATGCACCATATACACATTGGAAGCAGACAGTTTTCTACTTGGGTGATAATGATCTTACAATCAAGAAAGGGGAGGAAGTAGATGGAGTCCTCACAATGACACCAAACAAACAGAACAATGTAAGGGCTTTTTAAAATACAATAGATCATTTGCGCTCTTGTGATTATTTATTGAAGCTATGCGGCATTGTTCAAGTATTTTATAATAGAGTATTCATAACACCATCTTATCCATGTGATTTTTTTCCCCCTGCTGCAGTGAAAAATTAGATTATAAATGCTGTACTCATTAACTTTCTCAAGTCGGGCAGATTTATTTCCCTTCATAATTTTAAGTGCAGGAAACGGTATTATTGTGGTTAGCATACTAAACGGGGGGGGGGGGGGGGGGGGTGTGGCTTATGTCTTATTAAATCTTAATTTGCTACCAAATTCATCCGAGTCAATTTTTATCAAAATTGCTATTGATAAGACTAAAAAAATAATATTGCAGGATGCACGCCCAGCAGAAGGGATATTATTAATAGGGATTTGTTTTTATGTTATAAGGAATGGCAAAGTGTAGATTATAAGTGTAAATTAAAACCTCAAACATGGTCCTTTGTTGTTGTTGATTTTTAATTAGTAAGATGTGATTTTGATCATGTAATATAATTTAGCTGTTCAGCACTTCATACATGTGTGTAATATTTATTTTCTTCCTATTCTCTATAGCGAGATCTGGATTTCACAGTTAGTATTGACTTCCATGGAGAACTGTCTGAGGCTTCCTGCTCTCTCAATTACAAAATGAGATAGATGCTATAAAAAGTCCTTTTGTCCAGAAGTATGGCCATTTTGTTCATTTTAAAGGTTTTGTTTGGTCAGATGAGTTTGTAACATGAACTTAAATTTAAAGAAAAATATTTACTGTTATGATTTTTAACTCCAATTTGCACTGTCATTGGGATTTGTAAGACTCTTGTATTAAGAAATTTTAAATGTTGCATTTTGTTGGACCTAGTGGGGCATTTGTATGATAGCATTGAACAAATGGAATTTTCTCTTGAAGAATGGAGTTTTTTTCTTGTGTTATACATTTGCCATCTTCTGGACAAATTTTATTTCAAGGAATGTAATGTTGGTAAAGTTATTGTAAGCCCATCATAACTAGTAGATGGGCAATAAGAAAAAAAACATTTGAATTACCTGTAAGATAATTATAAGCTTTGCTGCAAGTACTGCTTTTGTTGTACTGACAATGGAATGTGCGGCAGTCTATTATTTCTTGGTGTTTCTTTTAGTGGTATGTATTTTTTTTCTGGCTTCAGTGAGTACCGGTAGTGGTTTTGTCTCTTATTAGTCTTGTTTTTAAATTCTTAGGTCTGTATGATTTTGAAAAAAAATACATTTTCTTTCATTAAAGGTCTATTCAGAGTCAAACATAAACTTTTGCAGAGCTATGGAGGAGACCCAACAGTTGTAGCGTATGCTCATCCATTGATTTAATCTACTTAGCAGAGGCATTGATAACTGTTTTATCATCATTTCTATGCTCTGGTCTTGAACATGCAGTGGACTAAATCTGCAATGCCCTATGTATTCCATTGGTTAGCCCTGCAGTGGTGTCTGCTTCTCAGGATTGAAATAAGGGGCTTTTTACTATGCTCTTAATTCACTTCACTTGGAGCAGGTCTCCAGAAGATTTTTGGAAAGTTTTAACTGTTTTATTAGAATCTTCTCTATTATTTAAAGTAGTTGTCAATTGATGGCTCCAACTTTCATAAAGACATTTTCAGGTCTTACTAATCTTAGTTTGAAACACTTGTAGGTTAGTCATAGTTGTCCTCATACCATATGATGTTTATATCTTCAGAACCTGAGTTTATTTTTCAAATATTCATAAACCATTGTCAGTCTGGAATTAGCAAGTTCACCATTATAGCACATCTAAAGCAGTACAAAATGGCAGTGAGATTAATTTTAGTTTTAACGAACCGTAATTTTTATAAATTTTGCAAGATCTTTGTCTTCGGCTATGCTACTATTTTTTTCAAAGTTGATTTTTTAATTGGCTCCAATTGATGCTGTTGTTCATGCATCTTTACATGTATTATAAAAACAACATTTTGTTCCATACCATGTTTTGTTGCATATGCATCATCATTAAACATTTATATTCATTTGTAAGAACAGTGTCTAGCTTCCATGCCTGTGTTGTTGGGTGAACATGTAATTATGGGTTCATAGTTTTTTAGGGCTGGTCATGTGAAAGTGGTTTAGCTTACAAGGGTGGCGTTGAGAGACTGCACATTCAACATGCTTAGAGCAGCATCTGGAGCCCAGGGGCTTTAACTTTTATGCCTCTCCTGGTCCATAATATTCTTAAGACTTTTTCCTAAGTCTATATTGTAGTGCTCAGACTTCCTGAACGCAGCTTGTGTTATTTTAACATTGTGAAAAAAGTGTTGAGGGCAGTATTCTCATGTTGTCCTCAAAAAATGAGACGTGAGCACTTGCATTAATTGCACATAGTCATAATGGATATATTAGTCCGGAAATGAAATTTAACAAAGTTAATATCATTAAAATCTAAAGCCCCGACTCCAAAAATCAAATTAAAGTCATCCTTTTGCTGTCAAGAAAATAAACGACAAAGCATATTGGTAGTACTAGTTGTAAAGCAAACATGCAGAGGCATCATAGAGTAGTAAATCAACTACTGTCTTCAATAATAATATTTTAAATTTTGTAAGCTGTGGTACATTATGATACATCACCTAGGGTGGCATTATGGGGGGATTACACTAGGCCTGCGCCGGGTACTTCAGGATTCAATGTCTGCGCCCGATCTAGTCAGTCGATTTGATCTCTGGGTTTATTTTATTCCTATTTAAAGGACATGTGCATATTGAATCCCAGAAAATCCTCCAACCGCAAAGTTAATTTTTAAATGAAACTTCATTCCATTGTTCATGGAAATAGTTAGGGGTACTGTACATATTTTGATTTTTAAATGAAACTTCATTGCATTGTTCATGAAAATAGTTACCGGTACTGTACATATTTTGTAATGTTACTGGAGTTTTTTAACTTTAACGGTTAAAAATTTTCAATTTATTAAACACGAGTTGCCCAAGACGGAAAAATTTCTTAAAAGGCGTAAAGGATATATGGGGTATAAGTAGTTGAAGTCGTGTCAAGTAACAAGATATGATTAGGCTTGTGAAGTAAATAAATAGTGTAACAAGATATAAAAAGGCTCTGAAGAGAAAAAGACCTAAAAACTTTGGCTTAATGACTAAATGCCTTCATCTGCTGACAATACAAAACAAGAAATAGCAAATTATTTTTAATTAAAACTTAAGTGTTCCCAGATCACAATGTACCAGTAGCCCCCTGTCTTTGTGTAGACCCGTGCTTCTCAACCTGTAGGTCGCGCCACCTTTGCTTTGGGGTCGAACGACCCTTACACAAGGGTCACCTAAGACCACTGGAAAACTCAAAAAATACTTTTAGAGTTGGGGGTCACCAACTGCATTAAAGGGTCGCGGCATTAGGAAGGTTGAGAACCACTGGTGTAGAAAGACTTAAAATTCCTAATTGTCAAATGCTTTCAAATATTACTATAAATTATAAAATGCTAACTGTATTTCATATTGAATTTGAACTGTCTTGACATAATTTAAATCTTCTTTATTTTGAGGGCCCACGATCAATGAATTGATCATTCTGGCTCCTATGTTTCAGTACCGGCACTCATTTTCTACTTAAAAATTGTTACCGTCTTGAGTCAGAGCAAGGCTAGGGTTGGGCAATCTTATTAATTTTAACATCATATTATTCAATGGGGCAAAATATGTAACCTGTCTTCAGCTAGGGGGCTTTTTATATTGATTCGTGAGCATTTGTTTTTTTGAAACAATTTTTTTTTTTAGTTTAACTCATATGGTACCGGTATTCCATACATTACATCACGGACATGCTTTAAACGTAACCACACACGTTCCAAAATATTTACACTAACATATTAAATTGTGATATTCTTTTGATTGTCATCGATAATAATACCGGTGTATAATCGTATTGCGGTAAGTGTAGTCATGTGGCGGAGAGGCAGCTGACAGTTTTAGACGGATATTTGGTTCATAATGCCATAAACTAAAGAACTTCGAGTCTTGAGAATTATTGTCTTTTCTCATTTATTTGTGTGTTTAAAACGGTTTAATAGCAGTAGGAAAAAAAATCATAAGAAAAAGTTCGAAGTAAACGGATCCGAATAAAAAGGACAATATTTGTGACTAGTTATAAGTTATAGCTCGCCAAACATTGGCGACAGCAATGCGTGAAAGCAATGCGTGAACTACACATCTACCGGTACTAAAGTTCCTTGACTTGACAAAACATGAACTCAGATGACACACTTAAAAATCTCAATTTTTCGCTACCCTCCTTCCCCCCTTGATACGCCACTGCACACTTTTTTTTTTTTTTACGCCCATGAACTGTTTTAATATTCTGACCACCTTTACACAACTGTTTTAATATTCTGACCACCTTTACACCGAATCTTATTATAACGAGGGTAATGAGTGAACTTCCCATTTACTAAAGTTACTTGACATGAACTCAAGTAACGCACATTTAAGAATCCTATTTTTTGCTACACCCCTTCCCCCATGATACGTCACTGCACACTTTATATTTCACGCCCATCAACTATATTAAATACCGGTATTCTGGTGTCCTAACCGCTTTTATTTAAGCCGAATATTTTATTTTTTTTACACCATACTTAAATATATATATATTATAATTTAGGTTTAGTGTAGTTAACGGGAATCATATTTCGCGCTATTGAACTCATTATTTAACCATACTTTCTTTCAAACATTTAGAATTATTCGTCATATACTCTCAGGACCAAATTCGCTGATTAGGAAGAAGTCCACAAGTCACACCAGAAGCGTAATATATATAACCAATATAAGAGATACAATCTCAACACCAAATACACTAAGTAATAGTAATGGTAAGCAGCCGGAAATGGAAGCAGCCTAACAGTCGTTTATAATATAAATATAAGAGATTATGAAGATACAAATAGTAAAGAAAAGGTTAACATTGTGCCGACTAACATTTGAATTACACAGCTAACAAATGAACATGGTAAACAGCCCTGTGTCAATTATCATCAGTCCTTAACTGATACAGATCCTGATTACTCTTGATTAGTATTAGTATTGATTGACATTTTCTGTTTTACTTATTTTGCATTTGGCCCTTGGGCTGCGACTAGTCGTTAACAAACATATTGTCTATTATAGTCCATTCAATTATCTTTCATTTGATACCTCATTTGTCTTACAAACCCAACAATACAATTTGTAATAGTTTTTAATCCCAACCTCTCACTTCTGGTACCCGGGTACGAATAGCCACTTCGTTTTTGCATTATTTACGCATTTTAATCCAAGGGGGGAATCCCAACAAAAATAACATGGCTAAAAATAGATCACAGCCAGGTGGCGCTTGGTAAAACATTTCCCATAATATGATTGTTTTGGTCCGGCAAATTCCATACCAACATTACTCAGAAACGTAGAGAGGATTTTACCCTACTAGCGATTTAGTGCAGTAAAGCAACGCAAAAGACAGAAAAGAGCATACTCTTATCGTAAGTCTAAACTTAAATGAGACATTATTGTCCTACTATGTTTCAGATTTCAGAAATGAATTTCATATAAGATAATTTGTTTCAGTTCTTTGTGCTTAGTCAGACTAACTCTAGTTCTAGCCTAAGCCAAAAATTAAAAGGGGAGGGGTGGGATTTTTTACTTATGCCAGTCATGCTCAGATGTCGGGAGGTGTGTGCCACTCTTTTAAGTAGTCTGCAGTTACAGTCTTCACCTGATCAAATCACAGAGATATAGACATAGAACAACTCAACAAATACAATGAGTCGGTCACGTTTTGCTACGGCTACGGCTACAGTTTTCGTCAATTAATGAATTAATAAGGGGCTTTTTCAAGCTTGTACTTGTATGATGTATAGTACAAAATACAATGCAGTTTGAGTTTGATATATATTATATATAAATGACATAACACCAATGACAGTTCTTCGTGGTCTAGTCCAGTGTTCGGAAATTCGCGGCTCCTAATAACCTGAGTGCGGCTCTGCCAGTCGGCCACAGTTTGGTTTTGACTCCAAAAAATACGGTGCTCGACAGGACAGGTTCTTGAAAAGAGATTTGGCTCTCAAATTTGTTTAAAATCGTCCTGCTGCTGATTTTGGCTCTTTTGATTCATACGTTTTCCAACCACTGACACTGACTGGTCTAGTCTAACAATAACAGTTACTGCATGGTTAATGCAGATCCAAGTATCATACTATCAATAGTCACTAGTGATAGTACTTACTTAGTAAGCTCAATTTTAATTTTAATAATTGCATGCCTATGCTTTTATAATTATGACCCATGCCCATTGATTATCAGTGATTAACATTTTATGAACATACATCAATAACAACAGTAAATCAGTCACATTGAGTAGGTCTAGTATGAGTATTATTGACCACTCAAAAATTTTCACCAGCACTACCTTACAGACTCACAGAGGTTGAGAAAGACCACATGATTTTTTGCTACCCTCCTTTTTAAAAAAAAACTCTATGTATACGTTTAAACTTTTATAATTTCAATTCATTAAAGCATGGAGATTTTATTTCTTTTGACATTTATAATTTTATATAGGCCTATAGTATAGCTAACATATAAGTTAAATTTCTTTACCTACTTCTGTGTGAATGTGAAACGCCTATGAATTGAAACATGAGCCAAATGGTCCTAATCACAAGATGACTGAACATTCCACAAATTTAGGATTCAACTTACTGCCCTAAATGTCCTGATCTATTAAGCCTTAGAGGTGTTATACTTTTTAAAATGTGCATTTTAATGATGTATAAATATTGATTTGAACAAGAGTTTATAATCACTATGTCATAATCAAACACTGACACATGATCTTAACAGTCATAACCTTTACTAAAAATATCAGAGGGCAATCTTGAATGTTGATATTAATTGATATGAATGTCTGCTGTATTTTTTTTTGTTTACATTACAAAAGCCATCTTTTAAAAATTTCTTTGTGTACATTCCTAGTTTTTAATCAGACAGCTTTTTAACTTAACTGGTTGGACAACTATTTTATTGTAGACAACTGTTTTTTTAATCCTGCCAAAAGCTGACTGCTGGTGAAACTGGTTGATTAGAGTTGTTTTTTTTACACAGGGTTTACTGACTCCCCAAGAATGGCCGAGTCCAATTCACCCTGTAATTTAATCATAATTAAACATGCAATGTGCTGCAACCAGTGGCGTAGCTATGGGGTTGCAGGGGGGTGTGGACCGCACAGGGTGACACTATCTCAAGGGGTGACACCAGATTAAAAAATTGCATATTTACAGAGCATACGCTGCTTGGTCTAACTGAATTTCATAAAAGGATAACCGATTACAAGTAAATGTTCCACATATTTAACCAATCCGTATGCGGGCTTCATTAAAAGTTCAAGGCTGATGAGTCAGAAATGATGTAGCCCTATAATTTGGTAATAAAAAAACAGTTTTGTCCATGATTCAATACCGATTGAAGTGTTCTGTAACTTTGGTAAGTGACAGGAAGCTATATTTATTTAAATTCTGAGAAATAACGCTTTACATTGATACCAAATACAATTTGCTTGGATGACTCTAAGTACATTTTACAGTTCTTAAAAACATTTACCTCATGACCTTCAATTAATTTGTTTGTCATTGTAATTCTGTGGCTTAATATGTGAAAAAGAAAGAAATCCATCGGAGAGGGGGTGGGGGTGACACCATGAGTTTACAGCAGCTGGTGACACCAACCCTAGCTACGCCACTGGCTGCAACGCTTCCATTCTGCCATGGTGCTTACTATAAAACTGTTAGTGACTGAACTGTTGATGATAATTTTTCTTTTCAACATTTTTTTAATGTCCAACAGCCTTTTGATTGACTTCAGAATGAGCCATTGGACAAGGTATCAATGACGTAACTTTAGATTTGATGCTAAGAAAGAGTTGGGGGGAAGGGGATTAATTATCTTTATTCTAATGTCTTTTGAATTAACTGATGGGCATGGGAGGCAAGTAACTGATGGGCATGGGAGGCAAGTAACTGATGGGCGTGGGAGGCAAGTAGCGTCATCTTCTGGATGGATGTAGTTCATATGATTTTTTAAAAAGTCTAATATAGAGGGTCCCTTAAAGAGAACCTTTTCTTTGAACACTTTTTATTTGGTCTATTGACCATTAAAAAGCCAACATTTGATTTGATCTGTACTTTTTGTATCTCTCTGAGTGGGCTGGATTGTCAGAAACTTTTCATGTTATTTCCAAAGGCCAGTAGTTATGATTATGCCAGAGAGAGAGATACATGCAAATTCATGGCATGGAACCGATTCATCAATTATGGTTCTTGGCCAACACATTTTTAATAATCCATAGTATTTAAAGTAAAAAGCTAGAGCTGTAACATGCCTCAAAATATTTGTTGATAGAATGGATTGCATTTACAAATGTCAATGATATGCATTGTGTTGCCAGTGCAGTTCCTTAATATTGTTTTCATCAATAGTCACAACAAAATGCGGAGCAGAAAGATGTTTTGATTTTTTAATAAATTATTTAATAAACATTTCATGCACCCAAATTGAGGCAACTGAAATTTTCGCAACAATTTTAGCAAATTATATAAATTTGAATTTCTCTTCAATTACTATGCTGTGTAACCCAAACACAGTAAACTTACCAGTGAATATAACATGAAAAATTCCTCATATACTTTAACATAACCATAACTTCTTGATTGCATGAATCAGTTAAGGAACTGTTGATTTTCAAGTCGTTCCTGCACTAGTGTAGGAAGGCAAAAGGTTTTTTCTATTTTTCTATGTATTGAATGGCAACATGTTCAGTCAACTGCAGTTTTTTCCTTAAGGTGGGGTGGGGGTGGGGGGGGTGTTTCACCCATCCCGGGCAACCCTAGCAGCACCACTGCTTCCATGTTATGATTTTGTAATATTTGCTAAAATTCTATACAATCAAAGATCTTATTCTATACAGTCAAAGATCTTATTCTATACAGTCAAAGATCTTATTCTATACAGTCAAAGATCTTATTCTATACAGTCAAAGATCTTATTCTATACAGTCAAAGATCTTATTCTATACATTCAAAGATCTTATTGTTCTAAAAGTGTGCCAGTTTGATAAACATAAATATTAATTAAATATTTTTTTTTATTTTTCAAGGGAACATGTTTTTGTCTCCCAGGTAGTAGACAGTTTTGCTGCATCAGCAGTTAGAAAATATGAACTTAAAGAGGCGTAACTGAAAACAAGATCCTGCATGAACGCAAACTTTTGTATAGAAAGTTTGAAACAAAAAAAATAGCTAATATATCACTGAACTTGTTAATAAGCTGAATCAGCTAATACTAACTTATCTCTGAAACTGTCGTATACTATAACAACATAAGCTAATATATCTGTGAAACTGTTGTAGAAAACTTGCCAAAGTTTTGATTGATGATTGTGGATAAGATCAGCTGGCTGAGTTTTATTCCACTTCAAACAACCGTGCTTCACATTGTTTTGCACATGATGGTGCCCCCAGAGCAATGTAGTCAAGGATTATGATGCTTGTGACGCTTCATCATTAATGGATCAATTCAAATTAGCTAAAGACTTTAAAAAAAAAAATGTTTTAGAGACTGTACATTTGATTCAACGACACGTTCAAAAAGTGGTTTGGGGGGGGTGGGGTGGAGAGAACTGTTGGATTATGGTGCTTGCTATAGATCTCAACAGGTCCATAAAAGCTGCTTTGAATGAGATGCACAACGTCAACATCAAACATTGCCACAAGGCCGCCGCACCCACATGGCTGTTAATACTTCTCTTTATCCATTATTCACGGCGATCTTCTCCCGTGACACTCGCGGTCTTCTCAAGTGACATCCGCATTATGTCTTGTACATTTCTATGTTGTTAAGGGTGAGGGTGAATTCAGGGGTATAATGTGAGGGTATTTGTGGATTGAGGGATATAGTGTGAGGGTATTTGTGGATTGAGGGATATAGTGTGAGGGTATTTGTGGATTGAGGGATATAGTGTGAGGGTATTTGTGGATTGAGGGATATAGTGTGAGCGTATTTGTGGATTGAGGGATATAGTGGGAGGGTATTTGTGGTTTGGTCGATATAGTGAGAGTGTATTTGTGGATTGAGGGATATAGTGTGAGGGTATTTGTGGATTGAGGGATATAGTGTGAGCGTATTTGTGGATTGAGGGATATAGTGTGAGGGTATTTGTGGATTGATGGATATAGTGGGAAGGTATTTGTGGATTGATGGATCTAGTGTGACTAGTGTGAGTGTATTTGTGGAATGAGAGATATAGTGTAAGTTTATCTGTGGATTACGAGATATAGTGTGATGTGATTTATGGATTCAGGGATAGAGTGTGGATGTACTGGAGGATTTAGAAATAAACTGTGGGGGCTTTGGTGGTTTCATGTATAATGTGTGAGGGTATTGGTGGATTCGGTTTTTTTTCCATCCCAATATTTCAATGTTAGCAGTATAGGATCATATATTTGTTTGGAGGGTGAGGTGTGGGTCACTTAAGTCTACTTCTGAACCAAATACTAGAACCGTGTTTATTAAGATTCAACACTCCACCCCCATGCACCTTTGGTGGCGTGTATTGTTCCACTTATTCAATTCCAATCCCTTTAATCTTACGTGAACTGTACAAAAGAAGTAAACAAGGTTTAATTTCGTGTAACATTAACACCCCCCTCCCCTCCCCCCCCCCCACCTTTGCCCTACCATTGCCCAGGCTCGTTCACAACTTCTGGTCGGTGGTGTAGACCTCTCTGCTTGGGGAACTAAAACCTGTGAGATTTGTTGATTTAGTTGAAACACGAATGCAGACAATCGGTTTTCCCATTGGAGTCACATGACCTAACACGCGCTACTGTGTATTGATTGGCCCCGTTTCTGCTCGCCTATTCCAAAAGACAAAAAAAAACCCAAGACTGTACTAAATGGTGGCTAGAGCTTTTTTGTTTAAAACGTTGGCTCTTTTTAAGACGGAGGACGGGGTGTGGGGGAGCGGGGGGGGGGGCAGGGAGGGCGGTTCTAACCCCTCAACCCGCCACTGGGTACAACCGATGTGGGGGGTCAAGGCCGGTGATGTGTGCTCATCTGTTGAGACCAGCTCAGCGGTCAAATTATGGCGAACTTTTTAGGTCCGTTTCTGCTCCCCTATTCAAAAAGAAAAAAAAAAACCCAAGGCTGTACTAAATGGTGGCTAGGGCTTTTTTGTTTAAAACGTTGGCTCTTTTTAAGACGGAGGACGGGGTGGGGGGGAGCGGGGGGGGGGGCAGGGAGGGCGGTTCTAACCCCTCAACACGCCACTGGGTACAACCGATGTGAGGGGTCAAGGCCGGTGATGTGTGCTCATCTGTTGAGATCAGCTCAGCGGTCAAATTATGGCGAACTTATTAGGTGAAGCCACGACAACCTGGCTGAACATTTCTTTGAAGGTTTCATTGATACACTTAGTCTTCAGTGAGTCAACGTTGCCGACCCCTGGCACTGATTGCAGAGCAAAAGCAGTAGCCTACATCTACGTGTCCAATCAAAAGATATCTTTTACAAGGGTACTTCATACACATCAAAAGATACCTTTTTACAAAGGTACCAGTACTTCATACAAATCAAAAGATACCTTTTACAAGGGTACTTCATACATATCAAAAGATACCTTTTACAAGGGTACTTCATACACATCAAAAGATACCTTTTACAAGGGTACTTCATACACATCAAAAGATACCTTTTACAAGGGTACTTCATACACATCAAAAGATACCTTTTATAAAAGGTACTTCATACACATCAAAAGATACCTTTTACAAGGGTACTTCATACACATCAAAAGATACCTTTTACAAAAGTACTTCATACACATTAAAAGATACCTTTTACAAGGGTGCTTCATACACATCAAAAGATACCCTTTACAAAGGTACTTCATACACATCAAAAGATACCTTTTACAAGGGTACTTCATACACATCAAAAGATACCTTTTACAAAGGTACTTCATACACATCAAAAGATACCTTTTACAAGGGTACTTCATACACATCAAAAGATACCTTTTACAAGGGTACTTCATACATTTCATCTTTTCTCAAGACTTTCAATTTAAAAAAAAAAAAATTAAGAAAGATATTGTGGGGGGTGGCTGGTTGGTGGGTTGTCTAGACTCTTGATGAGGTCTATTTATAATTTGCCAAAGAGGAATGCAAATTATTGCTTCTTTCGTTGCTGTTGAGAAAGAAGCTGAACACCTTTGGTTGGTGGGTTCAAGGACATTTTTAATGTTACACTAGGTGAGTCAGTTACACTGGAGAGTCAGTTACAATAGGAGAGTCAGTCACACTAAGAGAGTCAGTTACACTAGGAGAGTCAGTTACACTAAGGAGAGTCAGTTACAATAGGAGAGTCAATTACACTAGGAGAGTCAATTACACTAGGAGAGTCAGTTACTCTAGGACAGTCATTTACAATAGGACATTCAGTTACACTAGGAGAGTCATTTACAATATGAGAGTCATTTACAATATGAGAGTCAGTTACACTAGGAGAGTCAGTTACACGAGGAGAGTCAGTTACACGAGGAGAGTCAGTTACACTAGGAGAGTCAGTTACACTAGGAGAGGTTACACTAGGAGAGTCAGTTACACTAGGAGAGTCATTTACACTAGGAGAGTCAGTTACACTAGGAGAGTCAGTTACACTAGGAGAGTCAGTTACACTAGGAGAGTCAGTTACACTAGGAGATTCAGAGGTTAATTTCGATATTATTTAACTAGCGTGTGTGTGTTCTTTAATTTAAAAAATGTTGATTAAAACTCCTGTAATTAGCTACAACCTTGAACTTGATACCCACTAATGGTTGCAATCCCGCTCTGACTTGACTATCTAGTCATTCCACCGAGTCACAAAGGAAATGGGCGGGGCAAAAATTGCATGGCAAAGTTTTCACGAACACCGCCTCCTACTCTTATCAATGGAACACGCGACTTGGCAATTGTTGTTTTATAATTAGCCACGATCCTACATAACACCTTCGTCGCCTGCTGTCGTCACACCGTTGTTTTGTGCGCGGATTAGACATTTGTGTGCATTTTGGTATCGCAAGGTAGGTGTTGAATTTGTATAGTGTGTTAAGAAAATCATTGATATAATGAACTATTATAAAAGCAATCTGGGTTGGAGAAGAAAAAAGGGGGTGGGGAACAATCTTCCCTCTAAGGTTTGTTGGTTCGTGTGGAAAATCTTAAAGTTGTGTGCAAATTTTTACAGCATCAATTTTTTTGTGCACAAAATTTTCAGCCTACAGACACAAACACACACTTAAGTGGAAATTAGCTGCGCGGTACTCAGAACTGCTGCGTGGCGTCTGTGAGATTGCAGCTGAAAGGGAACATTGGTGGGGGGTATTTGGACACTCAGTAGGCCTGCATACCGTTAGATTAGATTAGATTGATTTTGATAAGAGCCACATTTTCAGATCGGATGCCGTGGGAGTCGTCCACAATTCATAACTGTCATAGACTCTGAAGGCCTAATCGATCATTTAATATCGAGTTCATTTTATAAACACTCAATACTAATTGCACATTTGATGCAGCCACCCACACGACCCACTCAGACCCATTTAAGAATTGTGTTAGTTTACAACTGTCGCAAGGCTTTGCTTACTTATAGCACACTTCAGAGACGGAGCTCCGCACAGTTAGAACGTTCGTGTGCATTTCTTTCTTTGGATGTTTTCACTGTTGCATTGGCACTTGTATGCTACCGTTTGGCGTAGATTGGTCGGTTTGGTCTGTTCATTCAGGTCTCACGTCTTCTAGAGTCGCTGATTCAGTTTTCACTGTTGCATTGGCACTTGTATGCTACCGTTTGGCGTAGATTGGTCGGTTTGGTCTGTTCATTCAGGTCTCACGTCTTCTAGAGTCGCTGATTCAGTTTTCACTGTTGCATTGGCACTTGTATGCTACCGTTTGGCGTAGATTGGTCGGTTTGGTCTGTTCATTCAGGTCTCACGTCTTCTAGAGTCGCTGATTCAGTTTTCACTGTTGCATTGGCACTTGTATGCTACCGTTTGGCGTAGATTGGTCGGTTTGGTCTGTTCATTCAGGTCTCACGTCTTCTAGAGTCGCTGATTCAGTTTTCACTGTTGCATTGGCACTTGTATGCTACCGTTTGGCGTAGATTGGTCGGTTTGGTCTGTTCATTCAGGTCTCACGTCTTCTAGAGTCGCTGATTCAGTTTTCACTGTTGCATTGGCACTTGTATGCTACCGTTTGGCGTAGATTGGTCGGTTTGGTCTGTTCATTCAGGTCTCACGTCTTCTAGAGTCGCTGATTCAGTTTTCACTGTTGCATTGGCACTTGTATGCTACCGTTTGGCGTAGATTGGTCGGTTTGGTCTGTTCATTCAGGTCTCACGTCTTCTAGAGTCGCTGATTCAGTTTTCACTGTTGCATTGGCACTTGTATGCTACCGTTTGGCGTAGATTGGTCGGTTTGGTCTGTTCATTCAGGTCTCACGTCTTCTAGAGTCGCTGATTCAGTTTTCACTGTTGCATTGGCACTTGTATGCTACCGTTTGGCGTAGATTGGTCGGTTTGGTCTGTTCATTCAGGTCTCACGTCTTCTAGAGTCGCTGATTCAGTTTTCACTGTTGCATTGGCACTTGTATGCTACCGTTTGGCGTAGATTGGTCGGTTTGGTCTGTTCATTCAGGTCTCACGTCTTCTAGAGTCGCTGATTCAGTTTTCACTGTTGCATTGGCACTTGTATGCTACCGTTTGGCGTAGATTGGTCGGTTTGGTCTGTTCATTCAGGTCTCACGTCTTCTAGAGTCGCTGAGTCAGTTTTCACGCCGTGTTTTTAATGTTGGTTCCAGTTCCACGCCAGTCCGCCTGGTTCCAGTTCCACGCATGTCCGCCTGGTTCCAGTCCCACGCCGGTCCTAATAGAACTCTGTCTTAAAACCCTGTCATAAAACTCTGTCACAGAACTCTGTCATAAATCTCTGTAATAGAACCCTCTAATAGAACTCTCTAATAGAACTCGACGCCACGATTCACTCAAAGTCAAAGCAGCACCCGGGAAGCAGTATAAGTTATTAAGTAGGCCTTTTTTTGTTGTCAAGTTAAACGCCGGTGTGTCGCATTGGCAACTTTAAAAAAAAAATCGTTTATTATTGAAGAAGTTTAAACATATTAAATAGTTTAATTGTTGTCATAAAAGTTTAAATATATCTTAAACTAATTTACATTTGAGTTAAATTTTTAAAAAAGTATGTGTATGAAACACACCCAGGTTAAGGGGCACTTGAAATTGACATAATTTCTCTTCTGCTTAATCAGTTAAGTATAGTGTGGAGTGTAGACTAATGCAAAACTAAATTCAGGTACCGGTATACGCCAAAAGGAATCCTTGTATACTGAATATTTTTTTAAAAATGATACTTAAAAAAATGGGCTTCCATGTGCCCCCTCCCTAGACCCACGCCCGCACTTTGCTTTGGCTCGGGAGCATTCGGCACCTTGGATTTCAACCGCCGATCAAAGTGACGTACCGACACTTTTCTATAAGCAGGGAAAAATAACTCAAACCTTTGGGACCGAGGAAAAATCGATGCTATTTGCAGGTTTAACCTTCCTGGAGTAGTAAGCGCATAAGCCATGGACATTGCTATTTCAAGTTTCGTTATCTCCAGGTTCCGCTTGCCTAAAGAACTACCATACGTTGTGGGAAGGGGGGGGGGCGGTAAACTCAAAGTTCACCTTGTGCTACGCCACCATGACGGCGCCTCGTAGGGATATGTATAGAACTAGTACTCTGTACTGTCTGTTTCTTATGTTATATTTATACACTTACTGTTAAGTCCCCGATGACTGATCAATTAGTTATGAGACCGCTTAGTCACCGCCATCCCAGCTAAGCAACTATTGACCTAATCCGCCACCCCAGCTAATCCACTATTGACCTAATCCGGCACTCCAGCTAACCCACTATTGACCTAATCCGCCACCCCAGCTAATCCACCATTGACCTAATCCGCCACCCCAGCTAATCCACCATTGACCTAATCCGCCATCCCACCTCACCCACTATTGACCTAATCCGGCACTCCAGCTAACCCACTATTGACCTAATCCGCCACCCCAGCTAATCCACCATTGACCTAATCCGCCATCCCACCTCACCCACTATTGACCTAATCCGGCACTCCAGCTAACCCACTATTGACCTAATCCGCCACCCCACCTCACCCACTATTGACCTAATCCGGCACTCCAGCTAATCCACTATTGACCTAATCCGCCACCCCACCTCATCCACTATTGACCTACTCCGGCACTCCAGCTAACCCACTATTGACCTAATCCGCCACCCCAGCTAATCCACCATTGACCTAATCCGCCACCCCAGCTAATCCACCATTGACCTAATCCGCCATCCCACCTCACCCACTATTGACCTAATCCGGCACTCCAGCTAACCCACTATTGACCTAATCCGCCACCCCACCTCACCCACTATTGACCTAATCCGGCACTCCAGCTAACCCACTATTGACCTAATCCGCCACCCCACCTCACCCACTATTGACCTAATCCGGCACTCCAGCTAACCCACTATTGACCTAATCCGCCACCCCACCTCACCCATTATTGACCTAATCCGGCACTCCAGCTAACCCACTATTGACCTAATCCGCCACCCCAGCTAATCCACCATTGACCTAATCCGCCATCCCAGCTGAGCCACTATTGACCTAATCCGCCACCCCACCTCACCCACTATTGACCTAATCGGTGGATGTTTTCATTAGCATCCTGTCACGTCATTCAATATTAATGACTGCTGTACTGTTGTGGATTCGATGGTCAATACATATCATTGTGATCATAAGACATTGCAGGCACTAATCGTTGGTTGTCTGGCTGAAGTGATTGGTGAGCTTACAAACTGAGCATTGGTTTGTGTATTACGTATAAGATATACATGGATAGGTCCGATCTTGTTACGTATAAGATATACATGGATAGGTCCGATCTTGTTACGTTTAGGTGTACAGGAATAGGTCCGATCTTGTTACGTATAAGATATACATGGATAGGTCCGATCTTGTTACGTATAAGATATACATGGATAGGTCCGATCTTGTAGCGTATAAGATATACATGGATAGGTCCGATCTTGTTACGTTTAGATGTACAGGAATAGGTCCGATCTTGTAGCGTATAGATTTACATGAATAGGTCCTATCTTGTTACTTATAGATGTACACGAATAGGTCCGATCTTGTTGCGTATAGAGTATAGATGTACATGAATTTGAATAGGCCCGATTTTGTTGCGTATAGATGTACCTGAATAGGTCCGATCTTGTTACGTTTAGATGTACACGAATAGGTCTTACTTCGTCAGGAAGATGTAGCTACTTTTCTAGGGCTGACCCTGTCACTAAGATGCGTATGAGTAAGTCTGACTGTCAAGTAGATGTATTTAGTAGTGTTAGGTAATTCAATCAAGTCACGTAGATGTACAAGCTGATATGTTAAATTCCGTCCATCATACGATATGTACTTGTCAAAGCCGTTATTATTTACAGCTAATGTGTGGAATGGTCTGAAATTAAAGTGGTTGGAATTACAGGTAAAATATGGAATGATCTGAAATTAAAGTGGTTGGAATTACAGGTAAAATATGGAATGGTCTGAAATTAAAGTGGTTGGAATTACAGGTAAAATATGGAATGGTCTGAAATTAAAGTGGTTGGAATTACAGGTAAAATATGGAATGGTCTGAAATTAAAGTGGTTGAAATTACAGGTAAAATATGAAATGGTCTGAAATTAAAGTGGTTGGAATTACATGTAAAATATGGAATGGTCTGAAATTAAAGTGGTTGTAAAACACTACTCTGGAATCTGCCAAGGCCCTTCTTTTAGTATGACGTCATACTCATGTCCTCCTAAGTCGGTGTCATAAATCTACATCTGGAAGGCTGGAAATATGTTGGTCTGACCATTGGCCCAGTGAGTGAATGTGTCTGACCATTGGCCCATTGAGTGAATGTGTCTGACCATTGGCCCATTGAGTGAATGTGTCTGACCATTGGCCCCTTGAGTGAATGTGTCTGACCATTGGCCCATTGTGTGAATGTGTCTGACCAATGGACCATCGAGTGAATATGTCTGACCATTTGCCCAAAGAGTGAATCTGTCTGAANCTGGAAATATGTTGGTCTGACCATTGGCCCAGTGAGTGAATGTGTCTGACCATTGGCCCATTGAGTGAATGTGTCTGACCATTGGCCCGTTGAGTGAATGTGTCTGACCATTGGCCCGTTGAGTGAATGTGTCTGACCATTGGCCCGTTGAGTGAATGTGTCTGAACATTGGCCCGTTGAGCGAATGTGTCTGACCATTGGCCCGTTGAGTGAATGTGTCTGACCATTGGCCCGTTGAGCGAATGTGTCTGACCATTGGCCCGTTGAGTGAATGTGTCTGACCATTGGCCCGTTGAGCGAATGTCGTTGGCTTATCGGTGACTCTGGTGCCAGCATGGCGTGTCCCCGGTCTGCCCCAGTTGGAGAGAAACCAGTCCATGCACTTTTGAACTGGCGGCGGTCTCTCAGCTGGTACCTGACACATGTGGGGGGGGGGGCGTCTCTCTTCTTTATTAAGCGTCTCTCTACTTTATTATGATTCCACATACACGGGGCGTCTCTCTCCGTATTATGATACCACACAAATGGTGCGTCTCTCTCCTTTATTATGATACCCCACAAATGGGGCGTGTCTCTTCCTTATTATGATACCACACTCTTCTACTTATCCTATTTCTACTCATCCTGGGTTGTGTCATTTCATGAAGTATATTGTGTCATGACATGGATGTGAGTAGAGACCGACCGAATTTCGGTTTCGGCGCCGAAAGTGGCAATTTTATCACTTTCGGCCAAGTTTTGGTTTCGGCCGAAACTGAAAGTTAACTTTCGGCTTAATTTCGGCTTCGGTCGAAAGACAAAAGTTAACTTTCGGGTTTTTTTTCGGTTTCGGCCGAAATTGACTTAGACTTTCGGCCATCCGGCCGAAAGTGACTGAGGTTTTCGGTCATCTAATTCTCAGCAAAAGCGATATTTAACAATAAACTAAGCGACATTTAAGAATAAACTAAACGATCTTTAAAAACAAATAAAGCGATCGTTAATAAAAAAATTAAACGATCTTAAAAGAACAAACTAAGCGATTTTTAAGAACAAACTAAGCGATCTTTAACAGAAAACTAAATGTTCTTTAGGAACAAACTAAAAGATCTTTAAGAACAAACTAATCGATCTTAAGGAACAAAATCAATTATCTACCAGAACAAACTAAGCGATCTTTATGGAAAACTAAGCGATCTTTAACAACAAACTAAGCGATCTTTAAGAACAAACTAAACGATTTTTAATAACAAACTAAAAGATCGCTACAAACAAACTAAATGATCTTTAAGAACAAACTGAATGATCTTTAAGAACAACTAAGCGATATTTAAGAACAAAATCAATGATTTTTAAGAACAAACTTAGCCATCTTTATGAACAAACTAAACGATCTTTTAATAACACAAACTTAGCGATCTTTAAGAAAAAACTTAGCGATCTTTTTTGAACAAACTAATTGATCTTTAAAAACAAACTAAAAGATCTTTAAACAAAAACTGAGCGATCTTTAAGAACAAACTAAGCGATCTTAAAAAACAAAATAAATGATTTTTAACAACAAACTAAGCGATCTTTATGAACAAACTAAGCGATCTTTAAGAACAATCTAACGATCTTTAACAACAAGATGTCTTCTTCTTCTTCGATATCTTAAGGGCCCACGATCAATTTATTGATCATTTTGGCTCCTATGCCTGTAGATGGGTTTTGCAATGTTTCTGTTACTGGTGTTGATGAGGAAATTATGCACTAGGGGTTTGAAGGCTGGAGGCAATAGACACAAATGTGTCTAGTGTTTTCGCTTCTTGCTGGTATGAGCCTGAATTGCCTGCCATGGCCTCGTCGCTGTCTATGGGGAAAGAGGGACGAGTTTATGTTTAATACTGGAACAGATGTTAAATTAGATGTTTATTTATTAATATTCACGATTATCTCATTTTTTATAAAAAGAATTTAAATGTTTATACCTTCTCCCATCATTTTCGATGTATGCAGAATGTATGCGGGAACGAATTTCAAAATATCTAAATATTTCATTTTCGGCTTCGGTTTTGGCTGAAAGTCATTTTTAACTTTCGATATTTTTCGGTTTCGGCCGAAAGTCATTTTTAAACTTTCGGTATTTTTTCGGTTTCGGCCAAAAAGTCCTTTTAAACTTTCGGCCTATTTTCGGCTTCGGCCGAAATCAGAAAATCACTTTCGGTCGGTCTCTAGATGTGGGTTGTGTCATGCCATGGATGTGGGTTGTGTCATGACATGGATGTGAGTTGTGTCATGATATGGATGTGAGTTGTGTCATGACATGGATGTGAGTTGTGTCATGCCATGGATGTGGGTTGTGTCATGCCATGGATGTGAGTTGTGTCATGATATGGATGTGAGTTGTGTCATGACATGGATGTGGGTTGTGTCATGCCATGGATGTGGGTTGTGTCATGATATGGATGTGAGTTGTGTCATGACATGGATGTGGGTTGTGTCATGACATGGATGTGAGTTGTGTCATGATATGGATGTGAGTTGTGTCATGACATGGATGTGGGTTGTGTCATGCCATGGATGTGGGTTGTGTCATGACATGGATGTGAGTTGTGTCATGATATGGATGTGAGTTGTGTCATGACATGGATGTGGGTTGTGTCGTGACCAATGTTTCCCTCTAAGGTTTGCTGGTTTGTGTGCAAAATCATACAGTTGTGTGCAAAGTTTTAAATTTTCGATTTTTTGTGTGCAAAATTTTACAGCCCACAAATACAAACACACACTAGCATGGCAATTTGCTGCGTGGATACTCAAAACTGCTGCGGCGTCTGTGAGATAGCTGCGCGGCCGCACAGCTTAAAGGGAACATTGGTCATGACATGGATGTGGGTTGTGTCATGCCATGCAAGTTGACCGTCGCCAAGGGTAGAGGAGATTGGCCCATTGTTTACATAACAATTTCCAATTAAAGCATATTTACTTAACGCCAACTTGAACCAGGGAGTCCCTGTGGGAGCATTGATTCTGATACATGCTTTTTAGTTCGTTGTCTACATAGCCGGAACACGTCATCATGGATTTAGAGGTCTCACAGAGTCGATGTGACTCACCACGTTTGCATTCTCAGCTCACAAATCTAACTTAGTAGCGTAAGACTTCTAATGCACACAGTGTACTACCTTAGTTTTAACTCACCGCGGTGGTCATCCACCACCCTCGCCCCCCCCCCCTGCCATTTCAGACAACGTTATCTGACGACGTATACTGTTGTTACTCTCTCACAAGGGGGCGTGACTAGATTGTTCTACCGCAGTGTTTCCCAAACTTTCGAAATCTGTGTACCCCTGTCTATAATTTTCATAACACTGAATACCACTCGTTAAAAAAATTGCATATATTTTAATAACAGTTAAAAAAATTATTATTTTTTTTTCCTTTGCAGCGCGTACCCCCACCAAACTCTTCCCGTACCCAGGGGCGCGCGTACTACACTTTGGGAAACACTCTTCCACCGTGTTGGACAGCGTGTAGTGTGGGTAATGTTTGTGTACAGATGACTTAGCCGTTGTCTGTTTTCTCTGGCGCGCAGTGCACGGAGCACTTTCCTTTGGAATGAAACCTCCCAAAATAAACCAATCAATAACGCTACATAAACCAAGCTTTGGTTTTACAAGGACGAAGCCGAAGATCTTGTCTGTCAGACGATTGTCCGTGCAGATTCACCAAGGCCCATGCGTGTCAGTGCTACTTGTCATCATGCTGCATGTTGCCCCAAAGTCCAAAGTGGGATTCAGTGGGAAGATTTTTATTAATAAACGGTTTAATGTTTATGTAGTGTTTGAAGTGGGCGGGGGTTGCTATTGTGTAGATTTGCAGGCAACAGTGCTTTACAATGTTTAAATTAGAATCGAGGATTGCATACAGCTGTACTGATGTATCTTTGCACCCCTCTCACCTAGGATACACAGCTGTGCTGATGGACCCCTCACACTAGGATACACAGCTGTGCTGATGGACCCCTCACTTTAGGATTTACCATTGTTCCGAAGTGTGTACCCATCAAAACCGGGTATACCACTGTTGCCGAAGTTTGATGTACTCCTTAAAATGGTCACTATCTTAACTAGCCATTTACCCAAAACAAGCCATTTACGGGTACATTTTACCGTTTGCAATATTAAAGTAAATACAGTAAACAACGGAAGTGAAGATTTGATTTCCCCGTCCAAGGTCTCAGTGTTTCTGTCCACCCCCGTCCTAGGTCTCATTGTTTCTGTCCACCCCTTCAAGAGTCTCAGTGTTTCTTCCCATCCCCTTCAAAAGTCTCAGTGTTTCTCTCCACCCCCTTCAAAAGTATCATTGTTTCTGTCCACCCCCTTCAAAAGTCTCATTGTTTCTGTCCACCCCATCAAGAGTCTCAGTGTTTCTGTCCACCCCCTCAAAAGTCTCATTGTTTCTGTCCACCCCTTCAAGAGTCTCAGTGTTTCTGTCCACCCCCTTCAAAAGTCTCATTGTTTCTGTCCACCCCTTCAAGAGTCTCAGTGTTTCTGTCCACCCCCTTCAAAAGTCTCATTGTTTCTGTCCACCCCATCAACAGTCTCAGTGTTTATGTCCACCCCCTTCAAAAGTCTCATTGTTTCTTTCCACCCCTTCAAAGGTCTCAGTGTTTCTGCCCCCCACCCCCTTTTTTTTCAAAAGTCTCAGTGTTTCTGTCCACCCCCTTTAAAAGTCTCGGTGATGTACCCACCCCTTGTTTCATCAATATTCCTGTTGACTCAAGCGCGTGGCCAGTGCCATCAGCTGATATCGACGACTGATTAGACAGATCATTTCCCACTACTTTAAACAAAGCCTGCTGCGGCCGCGAGGCGTATTTTGTTCAGTGTAAACATTGTGTAGCTTGGTATCCAGTGGTGTAAATACCACGCCGGTACACCTAATGGTGTAACTACCACGCCGGTACACCTAATGGTGTAACTACCACGCTGGTACACCTAATAGTGTAACTACCACGCCGGTACACCCAATGGTGTAACTGCCACGCCGGTACACCCAATGGTGTAACTACCATGCCGGTACACCCAATGGTGTAACTACCACGCCGGTACACCCAATGGTGTAACTGCCACGCTGGTACACCCAATAGTGTAACTACCACGCCGGTACACCTAAGGGTGTAACTACCACGCCAGTACACCCAATGGTGTAACTGCCACGCCGGTACACCCAATAGTGTAACTACCACGCCAGTACACCCAATGGTGTAACTGCCACGCCGGTACACCCAATGGTGTAACTACCACGCCAGTACACCCAATGGTGTAACTACCACGCCGGTACACCTAATGGTGTAACTACCACGCCAGTACACCTAATGGTGTAACTACCACGCCAGTACACCCAATGGTGTAACTACCACGCCGGTACACCTAATGGTGTAACTACCACGCCGGTACACCTAATGGTGTAACTGCCACGCCAGTACACCTAAGGGTGTAACTACCACGCCAGTACACCCAATGGTGTAACTACCACGCCGGTACACCCAATGGTGTAACTACCACGCCAGTACACCCAATGGTGTAACTACCACGCCAGTACACCTAATGGTGTAACTACCACGCCGGTACACCCAATGGTGTAACTACCACGCCAGTACACCTAATGGTGTAACTACCACGCCAGTACACCCAATGGTGTAACTACCACGCCAGTACACCCAATGGTGTAACTCCCACGCCGGTACACCTAATGGTGTAACTACCACGCCAGTACACCTAATGGTGTAACTACCACATTGGTGCCCCTAATGCCTATTCATTTCTTGTCATATTCTTACAGTACACTTTAAAAAAAAATACGCCTCGGTCGGGATTAACCTAAGACTGATCCTGATGGGGGCTGAGAGATATCTCCAGAGCTGGTTGGTATTCTTATTTCGTGAGCGTAAACATTGGTGGGAGTGTGGAGTTGTGGGGGTGTTGTTAGGGCGTAATTCTTGTCAGTGAGATGGGGTGTACTACTCATCTAGTGTACGTTTCATATACTCTCTACACCGTTTGAAATGCATGTCTTTGTCTCTTGGCATCCGTCGATGATGTTGTAGAGTTCTCAGGACGAAATCACAAGGGTTTGAGATGATTCCTTAAACAGCAAATTGCCTCTCTACACGCACCTGGATAACCCAAGGGAACATCATATGTGGATGGTACAGCTTGGCACCAGTAGTGTCTTAGGAGTTGTCGGAATTTTTCATTGTATCCGCCTACGGGATTCTATCTCCGGGTTTTACCGGGACTTTATCGCTGGCTTTTACGGGATTCCATCTCCGGGTTTTACGGGACTCCATCTCCGGGTTTTAATTCAGAGTTTCCTGCTCTTAGATGAACCATCCAAGGTTAACGGGTCCCATCCACTAAGGGTCCTGGCGATTTTCTTGCTTGACCACAAGCTTTGGATTGACTCACTTTAGACCACTGGGCCATCCAGCGCCCACGTATGGATGAAATATGGGGTGGCGTGGTTGATGATATGCCAAACGCAGTAGTTAGATTACGTTGTCAAGCGGCCATATAGAAAGGACGGTTACCATAGTGATGTCTTTTTAATGCAATGCATATATTCATAAATTTAGCTGCCGGTCCGCGCTCGCACTGAGTACAAAATCTCTACTCTGTGCTATCGCTGCTTACATGACCTGGCACCGTCCTATCTCAAAGCGCTCATGACGCCTTATGTACCCACTAGACAACTCCGCTCATCCGACAGTGGCAAGCTCTCGATACCACTTGCTCGCCTTGAGACTTACGGAAGGCGCACTTTCGCATTTGCTGGCCCAACAATTTGGAACACCCTTCCTGTCACTCTCAGAAACAGCCAGACTCTGAAGTCTTTCAAAACCGATTTGAAAATACATCTATTTCACAAACACCTGCTGGGGTGATGTTGTCTACCATCGTTTCCAGCTGGCTATTATCTCCTAGATGTATATTGGCCTGTGTTGTTCATGGTTGCAAAGGATGAAAGACTTTGGGTTTGCTCGTATGTATTTTTTGTTATGTTGCGTCTTTGTATCTCAATGTGGTAAAATATAGATTGGTTCATTTCTCTTGTAATATGGATGACTTTTACTGCACTTCGAGCCTTTGGGGATGAAGCGTGTTTTTACAAATAAACTTTATTATTATTATTATTTAACCTAGAGACCGACTGAATTTCGGCTTCGGTTTCGGCACCGAAAGAGGCCATTTTATCACTTTCGGCCAAGTTTCGGTCGGCTTAACTTTCGGCTTAATTTCGGTTTCGGTCGAAAGAGAAAAGTTAATTTTCGGGTTTTCTTCGGTTTCCGCCGAAATTGACTTAGACTTTCGGCCACCGGCCGAAAGTAACTCTGGTTTTCGGTCATTTAATACTCAGCGAAAGCGATATTTAACAACAAATTAAGCGTCATTTAAGAACAAATTAAGCGATCTTTGAGAACAAACAAAACGATATTTAACAACAAACTAAGTGACATTTAAGAACAAACTAAACGATCTTTAAAACAAACTAAACGATCTTAAAGAACAAACTAAACGATTTTTAAGACCGAACTAAATGATCTTTAAGAAAAAAACAAATGATATTTAACAGTAAACTAAATGATTTATAAGAATAAACTAAGCGATCTCTAACAGAAAATTAAATGTTCTTTAGGAACAAACTAAAAGATCTTTAACAATAAACTAAACGTTCTTTAACAACAAACTAAGCGATCTTTAACAACAAACTAAGCGATCTTTAAAAACAAACTAAACGATCTTTAACAACAAACTAAGCGATTTTTAACAACAAACTAAAGTCCCCCATAGACAGCGACGAGGCCATGACAGGCAATTCAGGCTCATACCAGTAAGAAGCCAGTAAAGGAGCTGCTTATTCCTGCCCAAGACAATCAGGGACTGGAACCATCTATCAAAAGGAACAGTTGAGGCAACAACACGAGACACATTTGTGTCTATTGCCTCAAGCCTTCAAACCCCTAGTGCATAATTTCCTCATCACCACCAGTAACAGAAACATTGCAAATCCCATCTACATGCATAGGAGCCAAAATGATCAATAAATTGATCGTGGGCCCTTAAGATATAGAAGAAGAAGAAGCGATCTTTAAGATTAAGCTAAGCGATATTTTAGAATAAACTATGCGATCTTTATGAACAAACTCACGATCTTTAAGAGCAAACTAACCAATCAATAACAACCAACAAAAGCGTATCACATTGACCAAACTATCTCTTGTCAATTCATATATGTTGAAATCTAATTAAATAACTATCCAAAATTATTCTGGACAAGAAATTTCACTTTTCTATAACGTTGCGGTCAAAACGTTGATAGACTTGAGTCATGTACTTGCTGCACAATTAAGTTTCATATTAAGTCACCAAAAATAGCTTACAGGTTGTAAAGTAAACAAATAACTTGCCTTCACTTGTTTGGCTGGGTGTTGGGACTGAGAAATAATACAAGACTTATCCCGACTGCAGGGGCGTAGCTGGGAAAGCCTGAAAAACCATTGCAGTTGGCCGAAAAGTCCGTGTCTCAAATGTATAGGAATTAGGAAACGGAGCCTGTTAGGAACCGAGTCTTACTTACAGGGTTCGTTGGCTTCGTTTTTTAGGGGGTTTCATTATATATATACTTCATAAACCATTATTGTCATATTAAATATCTTTATTACATAAATAAGTTACAGCTTCAACTGCCATTTCTCACAACAACCCCAACACACTAACTACTCTAGGTCATATCCCCTTTCCCACACTATGTCACAAGATACTAAGAATAATAGATAAAACAACACACATAATCTCACAACAACACGCTTTCACACCATGCATTCAATGTCTTAACAGAGCCGCCCCCACCCTTTTCCGCTTGTTCCTACGTCAGTGATTGAATGTAGCCGAGAATTCAATATCTATATTTGATATCTCTGTGTTTATTTTGTACACGATCTGAAACAGTCGTCTGGAAATCGCTTGGCACAAAGAAAACACTAATCCGCTCTTAGAAACTTGACCCAGATCCCGTATTTACGGTTTATTCGTTACAAAACAGGAACTTAATACAAAACTAAATTAAATTGTTCTATCCATCCCTTTGGCACTACATCCCATGTTGGGCGTTGGCCTGCCTCACCACATCCTTTCATTCAGACTAACTGATGCTTTTTTTTCAAGGCTTAGATTTCCCAGTTGCTGTAGATCCCTCACTAAATCATACATCCACCTAAGCCTACGTCTGCCTTTGAGCCGTTTTCCTCTGGCCTTTTTGGGGTGCACCCTCTTCTCTCCTCATTTGACATTCTTGTTAAGAGTCCCGCAGCCCGCCCTTTTTATAGTTCTGCTACTAGCGTGAGATCCTGGTGTAGACTACAATTTCTGGTTGGTTCGTATTCTCCATTCATATACATATTTTGTTGGATACATTTTCTCTCTCATGTGTTGAATAGGTTTTCTGACTTTTTTGTTAGGGTCCGAGTTTCACTTGCGTATGTTGCAAGCGGTCAAATGCGTTTGTTACAGTTTTATACATAGTTTTCTTAGTTTTTCTTGTAATGTATTTGAATTTACTTTTTCCAGAGTCTAAGTGTGTTTTCTAATGTTAATGGCTTCATGTATCTGTCCTTACGTTAACATAGTCATGTGTTTGTTAAATGATTGTTAACCTCTTTAAGATAGTCATGTGTGTTTGTTACAGGGTTGTTAACTTCCAGTCCTGTAATGGTCACGTCCCTTTTATTTGGGGCTCTCTTCAAACATACCAGAATCCACAAGGTGGCGCTATAGTGTTATAGCGTTGGTGATGCGCCACCACTGGTCTTGTGATGATGAGAAAACCCCTTGCAGGTTTGTGACTTAACAGTGGGGCCCTTGTTATGTAATTTCAATACCTGAGCCCAGCTGGGCCTAGAATTTATCTTGATTACATCCTGGGACGGAGAGAGCGGTCCCGTGAACAATGAAACCTGCTTTCAAGACATCACAGTTGCCACGCGTGTGTCGGGGGAATATTCAGCTCTGCTACAGGTGTTGGGATTAGGCGCCACCATTGTGTCGCCTGGTCCAGAAAGGTCACGGCCGTTTCCTTAGCAATGACGAATTAAGAACATCTCAGCTAAAAATACATTTTTTTTTTGTGGTGGCAACCTTGTGAAGTCACGCTCTCCCTAACTTCGGGAGGCAACCAATCCACTGGATTATCCAGCGGTCTGCGACAGTGGTTCCCAAACTTTTTACACCAGAGGACCACGTCACAGCATTCTCAAATAATATTTGATTCTTGGACCACCGCTACTTACTTTAACATCTCAGCGTCACGTGTGCGCGGTGCGCGTTAACTGGAAGGTGAGCACCAGCCACATCTGGTGTGTGGCCAGCCACATCTGGTGTGTGGCCAGCCACATCTGGTGTGTGGCCAGCCACATCTGGTGTGTGGCGCCCACCTTATTCAACACTCACGACATACAAGCAGCAGCACTAAGAAAAGAGAAAGGCTCTTGCATTGCATCACCCATGTCAAATGGGTGCGGTTGTTTGTGATTCATGTCTAAGATGTGTTAAGACGGAGAAAATCTTAAGTGCGCTAGCCCTAAGTGGTCACTGCGAAATGATGACTCCACTGATCTGACATGCTAAGCTGTTTGTGTCATGTGCACTTTCTAGGCTTGCAAGTCAAGCTGTTTGTGTCACTGTTATAACCTCATCTGTGTTGACCTAACTCTGCTTCAACCACTAACCACGACTTGTTGTTGTTGTTTGTTGTTGTTGTTGTTGTTTGTTTAGATATTGACGCCCCCGATTAAATGTGTAATGCTCTACCAACTCACCACTCACTTGATTGGGAAAGGGTTGTTAACATTCGAATCCGTCCTATTCGTTCTAAAGAATGCTATCGGGTGATAAAATTTCTAGATCTTTTTTTTTCTGGAGGGTTCCAACCCCCTCCCTATAAATAAGCTGGCAGCTTTCCTAGCCGAGGTTTGCAATTTCCCTAGACATTCACGAGATGAAATAAAGGAGCCTTACGTGATTGTACTCTTTGTATGTGTGTAAGTGTGTATATTAAGTATAGATACATATTTGTAACTGTCAAGGATTGTACTTTTTCACTTGCTGTTCTTTAAGTCAAAAGAGTTTGTATTTCTGTCTATTTGATTGTGACCTCTTTATAATTAAATTGAATATTGTTAATATCTCTAGCTTTCCTTTAGTTTACTTTGTAGTATGGTAACAGTCACTTTCTAGGCTAGCTGTCTGTGTCACTTTCTAGGCTTGCAAGTCTAGCTGTCTGTGTCAATTTCTAGGCTTTCAAGTCTAGCTGTCTGTGTCTATTTCTAGGCTTCAAGTCCAGCTGTGTATTTCACTTTCAAGGCTGCAAGTCGGCCATCGTGCCTGGACATTAAACCAGAGATTAATTTATGTATCATTCGGGGCACTGAATCCCTGGTCTACTTTGCAGGTTGCCAACTGCAATAAAAGAAGAACAAAGAAAAACAAAGAAAAACAATATCTTTAAAAGCCAAGCTGGCAGATCATGGCACAATACGCCCTCAAACTTCACACAGCAAAAGGTTTATTTGGCTTCAAGACTGGCAGTGCCGTGTGAGGAGGCTTGGAACTCGAGGGCATAGAGAAGGGGCGGGGAAACTGTTCACGTAGGACGGCCACATTCATTTATCTTAAATCATTATGGCCACATTCAAGAAACTTTAATTCTATATCTGTAAAGTGAATGAACATTATTTAACAAAGTTGGGTCAATGAACAAGGAGGTACAATACTATTTCTAGTCTAAAAAAATTGAGAATATGTGCAGTCACTGATACAGAGCTGAGTAATGTAGGTGTTTAACACACACACTGCCGGCCATGATCTAGTACACATACACACACACACACACACACACACACATTGCCGCTCATGATCCCCACTAGGAAGGTGATCATACCGTTCTCCTACCCCACTAGGCCTGTTGCTCATACCATTTTCATACCCCACTAGGCAGTTGCTCATACCCTTCTCCTACCCCACTAGGCCTGTTGCTCATACCCTTCTCCTACCCCACTAGGCCTGTTGCTCATACCCTTCTCCTACCCCACTAGGCCTGTTGCTCATACCCTTCTCCTACCCCACTAGGCCTGTTGCTCATACCATTTTCATACCCCACTAGGCAGTTGCTCATACCATTTTCATACCCCACTAGGCCTGTTGCTCATACCATTTTCATACCCCACTAGGCAGTTGCTCATACCCTTTTCATACCCCACTAGGCCGGTTGCTCATACCATTTTCATACCCCACTAGGCCTGTTGCTCATACCCTTCTCCTACCCCACTAGGCCTGTTGCTCATACCCTTCTCCCACCCCACTAGGCCTGTTGCTCATACCATTTTCATACCCCACTAGGCAGTTGCTCATACCATTTTCATACCCCACTAGGCCTGTTGCTCATACCATTTTCATACCCCACTAGGCAGTTGCTCATACCATTTTCATACCCCACTAGGCCGGTTGCTCATACCATTTTCATACCCCACTAGGCCTGTTGCTCATACCATTTTCATACCCCACTAGGCAGTTGCTCATACCATTTTCATACCCCACTAGGCCTGTTGCTCATACCATTTTCATACCCCACTAGGCCTGTTGCTCATACCATTTTCATACCCCACTAGGCAGTTGCTCATACTATTCTCATACATACCCCACCAGACAGATGCTCATACCCCACTAGGCAGGTGATCATACCATTTTAAACCCGCCTACATCTATCAATCCACTAGGTTGAACCAGTCTCCTACCCGCCTACATCTATTTACATCTATAAATCCACTAGGTTGAACCAGTCTCCTACCCGCCTACATCAGAATCTATTTACATCTATCAATCCACTAGGTTGAACCAGTCTCCTACCCGCCTACATCTATTTACATCTATCAATACACTAGGTTGAACCAGTCTCCTACCCGCCTACATCTATTTACATCTATCAATACACTAGGTTGAACCAGTCTCCTACCCGCCTACATCTATTACATCTATCAATCCACTAGGTTGAACCAGTCTCCTACCCGCCTACATCTATTTACATCTTTCAATCCACTAGGTTGAACCAGTCTCCTACCCGCCTACATCTATTTACATCTATCAATGCACTAGGTTGAACCAGTCTCCTACCCGCCCAGTATTATCTGTAGGCTCATTTTGTCCCCATTTCCTCGTGCTGCTAATGGACATTTACATCCATTACGATATTGTTTGGGATTTGTCGCTTCATGTGCCATGTCGTCGTGGAACGGAACTCCAGAAAGTATTACACTTGTTAGTTCATCGATCTTTACCTGTCAGTTACAATCTGTGTTGATGTTTATGTGTATTTTTGCTCCTCTAATCTGAACCATGTGATAACATCGCCCACTCGGCCAGTAAGTAAATCAATTTACCAGCCGCGATATCACGAGTCCGTCACAGAAACGAGTTCCAATGAATGAACTGTAGCGTTGAGACGGTTACCAGCAGAGTTGAAGTCTTGAGACCCGCTGAGACTGGCGTGTGATCCGACGTCAAGTCTATTAATAGCCAGAGTGTGTGGCATGACGTCGACCAGGGCATCTCAACCTGGGGTGCTCCCACTCCTGGTGGTGCAAAGTGGCATTTCGAGATGCGTTAGGAAAAGTGATCATGGGGTACAGAGTCGACCATTGAGTTATTCTCATTGATCTTTTCATTAACATTTTACTGTACGCATTTAGTCACGTGATTGTTTTCCTTCTGAGTTCTACAGTTCTCTTTGCAATTCAATTATTTCAATTTTTAAAACACAAAACAACCTCCCTCCAAAACAAACAAACAAACAAAAACAACAACAAACAAACAAACAAAACAAAAAAAGGTCAATTTGTTTCCCAAGTTTAAAATCCGTGGTTACTTTTGTAGTGGTACGTCACGTAGTAAAACATAATTTAGGGGCGGCAGAATATAGAAAAGGTTTGGGGACCCCTGGCGTAGACGAATGGTGCAGTACATAGAGAATGGTGTAGTAAATAAAGAATGGTGTTGTACATAAAGAATGGTGTTGTACATAAAGAATGGTGTAGTACATAAAGAATGGTGCAGTACATAGAGAATGGTGTAGTAAATAAAGAATGGTGTTGTACATAAAGAATGGTGTTGTACATAAAGAATGGTGTAGTACATAAAGAATGGTGCAGTACATAGAGAATGGTGTAGTAAATAAAGAATGGTGTTGTACATAAAGAATGGTGTTGTACATAAAGAATGGTGTAGTACATAAAGAATGGTGTAGTAAATAAAGAATGGTGTTGTACATAAAGAATGGTGTAGTACATAAAGAAAGGTCTAGTATTAATAAAGAATGGTGTAGTACATAAAGAATGGTGTAGTACATAAAGAATGGTGTAGTACATAAAGAATGGTGTTGTACATAAAGAATGGTGTAGTACATAAGGAATGGTGTAGTACATAAGGAATGGTTTTGTACATAAAGAATGGTGCAGTACATAAGGAATGGTGCAGTGCATAAGGAATGGTGTTGTACATAAAGAATGGTGTTGTACATAAAGAATGGTGTAGTACATAAAGAATGGTGTTGTACATAAAGAATGGTGTAGTACATAAGGAATGGTGTAGTACATAAGGAATGGTGTTGTACATAAAGAATGGTGCAGTACATAAGGAATGGTGCAGTACATAAGGAATGGTGTTGTACATAAAGAATGGTGTTGTACATAAAGAATGGTGTTGTACATAAGGAATGGTGTTGTACCTAAGGAATGGTGTAGTACATAAGGAATGGTGTTGTACATAAAGAATGGTGTTGTACATAAGGAATGGTGTTGTACATAAGGAATGGTGTAGTACATAAGGAATGGTGTTGTACATAAAGAAAGGTCTAGTATTAATAAAGAATGGTGTAGTACATAAAGAATGGTGTAGTACATAAAGAATGGTGTTGTACATAAAGAATGGTGTAGTACATAAGGAATGGTGCAGTACATAAGGAATGGTGCAGTGCATAAGGAATGGTGTTGTACATAAAGAATGGTGTTGTACATAAAGAATGGTGTAGTACATAAAGAATGGTGTTGTACATAAAGAATGGTGTAGTACATAAGGAATGGTGTAGTACATAAGGAATGGTGTTGTACATAAAGAATGGTGCAGTACATAAGGAATGGTGCAGTACATAAGGAATGGTGTTGTACATAAAGAATGGTGTTGTACATAAAGAATGGTGTTGTACATAAGGAATGGTGTTGTACATAAGGAATGGTGTAGTACATAAGGAATGGTGTTGTACATAAAGAATGGTGTTGTACATAAGGAATGGTGTTGTACATAAGGAATGGTGTAGTACATAAAGAATGGTCTAGTAATAATCTGAATGGTGTTGTTTGATTTTGACGCTCTGCTAAGGTTTTTTTATCTCAATATGAGGCTTTTGTTCCAATTGGGATTCGGTGAAGACTTTTATAGAATGTATCCCCCGATCCAACGTCTCCCACCATTGTGTTCTCAGATGTAAGGTTTATTACAGTTGGTCGTTTTCCCAATAGCAATACATTTATATTTATAACCTGCTCGTTACTCAATCTCCTAACGGCAACTCTGTCTCCTGACGGCAGCTCAATCTCCTGACGACAGCTCAATCTCCTTACGGCAACTCAGTCTCCTGACGGTAGCTCAATCTCCTTACGGTAACTCAGTCTCCTGACGGTAGCTCAATCTCCTTACGGCAACTCAGTCTCCGTACGGTAGCTCAATCTCCTGACGACAGCTCAATCTCATAACGACAGCTCAATCTCCTGACGGCAGCTCAATCTCCTGACGACAACTCAATCTCCTGATGGCAGCTCAATCTCCTGACGCCAGCTCAATCTCCTCAAAGCTCAATCTCCTTACAGCTCAATCTCCTGGCGCCCCATACTCCTGACGGTCTTTTCAAATATAAACTATACGTGAGAAATTTTTCAACGGTTATGTTTAACAAGTACAAATGGGGAAACCACTCCTATAGGTCTAAACGCTCAATGTGTAATGCGTCTAGCTTGCAACAACCCAGGCCAGGTCCAAGTTTTACTATCTCCAGCATGGACAAGAGCTCTAGCTTGTAACAACCCAGGCCAGGTCCAAGTTTTACTATCTTCAGCATGGACAAGAGCTCTAGCTTGTAACAACCCAGGCCAGGTCCAAGTTTTACTATCTCCAGCATGGACAAGAGCTCTAGCTTGCAACAACCCAGGCCAGGTCCAAGTTTTACTATCTCCAGCATGGACAAGAGCTCTAGCTTGTAACAACCCAGGCCAGGTCCAAGTTTTACTATCTCCAGCATGGACAAGAGCTCTAGCTTGTAACAACCCAGGCCAGGTCCAAGTTTTACTATCTCCAGCATGGACAAGAGCTCTAGCTTGTAACAACCCAGGCCAGGTCCAAGTTTTACTATCTCCAGCATGGACAAGAGCTCTAGCTTGTAACAACCCAGGCCAGGTCCAAGTTTTACTATCTCCAGCATGGACAAGAGCTCTAGCTTGTAACAACCCAGGCCAGGTCCAAGTTTTACTATCTCCAGCATGGACAAGAGCTCTAGCTTGTAACAACCCAGGCCAGGTCCAAGTTTTACTATCTCCAGCATGGACAAGAGCTCTAGCTTGTAACAACCCAGGCCAGGTCCAAGTTTTACTATCTCCAGCATGGACAAGAGCTCTAGCTTGCAACAACCCAGGCCAGGTCCAAGTTTTACTATTTCCAGCATGGACAAGAGCTGAATGTCGGTAATACTATTGTACAAACAAATCCAGCCACATATCTTTGGTTGAGATGCGAAGACGTCATCTTTCTAACTGAAAATGCACTGTTCATTCGCCTCAGTACGTCTGTATGCCACTGCTCATTTGTCTCAGTACTTCTGAATGGCACTCTTCATTTGTCTCAGTACTTCTGAATGGCACTGTTCATTCGTCTCAGTACTCTTGAATGGCACTGTGCATTCGTCTCATCACTTCTGTGTGGCACTGTGCATTCGTCTCAGTGCATCTGAATGGCACACACATCACATTAGAACGCCTTTTCACCATTGCCATGTCCACTCCCATTAAACACAGTTGTCCCATCGCTGTTTCATATTCACCGCCATTAATAAAACAAACAAACCAAAAGAAAACAACACGACGCCCAAATGTTAGGGCCCCGACCCAATGTTGACAGGAGAAATCCCACTGGATCGTTTGTCCGTAAAGCGCAAATATTTCATGATCTCTCGGGGATCGATATCGCGTTGTTTCCTTGTATAGGGGGTCCTAGGTGGACGCAGGAGATCCGTTCCTACGGCGTGACGTCACAGGATTTTGCCGAAGATGGAACCCACCTACATGACACTCACGTCACTCACATGGAGCACACACACACATACACAAACGACACATTTATGGGGGGTGGCGACGAAACCACAAAACGCCTGGAGTCGCGTCCGTCGTAATTGAGGACCCACTGTAGTTGACGCAATACCTAAAGCGATACCTGACTTGCTACTTACACGATACCAGACACGATACCTCACACGCCTCACTTACATGAATATTGAATTAGTGTCTCTGATACAAAAGGGTGACAAATAGCCCGCAAATTACCTTTGTGTAATCGGTACCTGCCCATGTTAATCTCGTAACGACCACCGCCATCTTTCTACAGCAGCAGATCATAACGACGACCGCCATCTTTCTAAAGCGACCACCGCCATCTTTCTACAGCAGCAGATTAAATTTAATTTTTTGTGGCAAACAGAACGGGAGATGAATTGAAACCAACCCCGTATTTTCTGCTCATGAACTAGGCATTCGTGGAAACACAAAGGGAAATCTGAAATCCGACCCGGCAGCCATTGTTTTTGATTGTTATTTTCCCTGACCACCTCATTTCGCCACACGAGATTGCTTGATATGATTCAATGTGGCCTTGACACGCCTGCACGGCGTTTGTCACGTGATGTGTTGAGATTGATGACGTAGGATTAACTCCTGTTAAACCCCCACTGAATTGATGTGTCACATGACGCCTGCGTTTTGGATCTCAGGGTCAGAATGCCAAGTTGAAGGGGTCGGGCATTGGGGATCGAGATCACTGGGCCCGGAGTTGACCTCTCATAACAGGGTTTCTCAAACTTGTGTCTCCGTCACCCTGTTATTTTTATACTTCTCCTTCGCGACCCATTAAGATCTGTATCGCCTGTACCGGCATATAGCAATATGGAACAGATAGGACTGTCCACACTGCTTTCCTATGCCTATTATAATAATAAAGCATTGACTCATCCAAGACTAAAGAAATCCAAGTTAACAAACATTGATCAATAGTTCGTCACGATTATCTGACCTAGATTTTCAAACTTTTTTTTTTTTTTTCTTCTTTCGTCGACCCGGAAAATTTGCTTTTGTGGCCCGGTGCCGGGTCCCAGACCCGGCATTAGAGAAACACTGTCTTAGAAGAAAGTTTACCGGTTTATTTAAAATGTGCAGAGTTGCCTGAGCAAAGTTGGCACGATTCTCCTGTCTTGTATCCGATGAAATCAGTGTAGGTGAAGGGCCGTGCATAGATTATATAACGAGAACAGGTGTGGGGTGGAGGGGTGGGGTGGATTTTATCCCATTATGTTCTATTGTGATCCATGGGATGGAGGTAGTTTATCCCATTATGTTCTATTGTGATCCATGGGATGGAGGTAGTCGAGAGCAATGTTATAGAAGGATTTTTTTCTATTTCTTTTTCTTGATTAATTCTTACTTTCAAAATATTTCTGATTTGAACATTTGCGAAAATAGCTGATAGTATTTGAACATTAAAATGTATCTTTTACATACAATTTACTATACGTAGCATATTTTGTCAAAATAATACTAATTTCTGGCTCTTTGCTTCAAATTTGCTCGTTTCGACTTGTTTTTTTGGGGACTTTACTGGGGAAAAGGGGGGGGGTGGCGTGCAAGAAATGATATAATATTAGGGGAGGGGGGTTCCATTGAAATGTTTTATAGTTATAAGAGCAAGGGGTGTGTCAACAATGTTATATTTTTGTGTTACATAATATGTGCTCGGCCACTCTGCAGTTGAATACTGGTAAAACACTGGTACAATAATGGTAAAATACCGGTGCAATACATGAGGGGGGGGGGGGACTGCCACCAGGTTAGCCAAAAAGGCAATGGATGAAACAAAGTCTGTGGGAAAGCTGAGAAGAAAAAACAACACAATACAAAGTTATTTTTTTTGCGCTCTTTCTCTCCCTCTCTCTCTCCCTCTCTCTCTCTCCCTCTCTCCCTCTCTCTCTCTGCCTCTCTCTCTTTCTCTCTCTCTCACTCTCTCTCTCCCTCTCTCTCTCTCCCTCTCTCTCTCTCTCTCTCTCTCTCTCCCCCTCCCCCCTTTTTCCAGGTTATCCCCAGACTTTGTTTCATTCATTTCCGTGGTGTAATACTTCAAGTGTGCATGTAGGATATACAGTTGAACACGTGTGTCAGTGCACAGTTGAGTACAACGTGTGTTTAAGTGAGCATTTGAATACACCATGTGTGTAGGTGGACAGTTGAATACACCATGTGTGTAGGTGGACAGTTGAATACACCATGTGTGTAGGTGGACAGTTGAATACACCATGTGTGTAGGTGGACAGTTGAATACACCATGTGTGTAGGTGGACAGTTGAATACACGATGTGTGTAGGTGGACAGTTGCATACAGCATGTGTGTAGGTGGACAGTTGAATACAGCATGTGTGTAGGTGGACAGTTGAATACACCATGTGTGTAGGTGGACAGTTGAATACAGCATGTGTGTAGGTGGACAGTTGAATACAGCATGTGTGTTGGTTGAAAGTTGAATACAGCATGTGTGTAGTTGGACATTTGAATACACCATGTGTGTTGGTGGAAAGTTGAATACAGCATGTGTGTAGGTGGACAGTTGACTACAGCATGTGTGTAGGTGGACAGTTGAATACTGCATGTGTGTTGGTGGAAAGTTGAATACAGCATGTGTGTAGGTGGACAGTTGAATACAGCATGTGTGTAGGTGGACAGTTGACTACAGCATGTGTGTAGGTGGACATTTGAATACAGCATGTGTGTAGGGGGACAGTTGAATACAAGACACGTGTTGGAATAATACAGTTGAACACTTGTGTATGCCAACGGTTGAATACAGCAAGTGTGTAACTTGTAAGATATACAGTTGAACCCGTGTGTATGCCAACGGTTGAATACAGCACGTGTGTAACTTGTAACATATACAGTTGAACACAACACATGTGTGTATGAATAATACAGTTGAACACGTGTGGAAGTAAGCAGTCACAAACAATATGTGTGTGGGTAAATAGTTCAATGCAACACCTGTGAAGGTTACACAGTAGAATACCAGATGTGTCATTCCATGAATCACATCCTAACATTTATAAACGGTCATCTATCGCGCCCAAAACCTTTCTATTATCTCTGGCCCCCAAAACCTTTCTATTATCTCTGGCCCCCAAAACCTTTCTATTATCTCTGGCCCCCAAAACCTTTCTCTTATCTCTGGCCCCCAAAACCTTTCTATTATCTCTGGCCCCCAAAACCTTTCTATTATCTCTGGCCCCCAAAACCTCTCTATTAATCAACTTGGCCATTTAAAAATGCCCCCACCCCTTGTTTCTTTGATTGGTCTAAAGAATCTTGGGGGTACTCGACTTTCATAGAACAACCTCTTCCCCCCCCCACCACCCCCATTCCCTTAAACCTGTTTTGACTCTATGTCACAATGACGTCCTCCTGGGGGCTCCTAACATTCCATCATTTTGGCAAAGGATTCTCGCTATAAAATGGATGTCGTTACTTGTGGCGGACTAAATCTTTGGCCTGCAATTAAATTCAACAAAATTATCCACCTGGCTGGAACATCCGCGCTACAAAGACACAAGAACATGCATTGACACTGACCCGGGACTTAAAGTCTTTGTATTTGGTCAAAAGTAACTAATGAATGTCTTAACCTGATAATATTTGTTTAACTTTGATGCCCCTGTGAATCTCTGGGTTTAAATTTGATGCCCTTGTGAGTCGCTGGGTTTAACTTAGATCCCCTTGTGTATCTCTGAGTTTAACTTTGATGCCCCTGTGAATCTCTGGGTTTAAATTTGATGCCCTTGTGAGTCTATGGGTTTAACTTTGATTCCCTTGTGTATCTCTAAGTTTAACTTTGATGCACCTGTGAATCTCTGGGTTTAACTTTGATGCCCTGTGAGTATCTGGGTTTAACTTTGATCCCCTTGTGTATCTCTGGGTTTAATTTTGATGCCCCTGTAAATCTCTGGATTTAACTTTGATGCCCTGGAGAGTATCTGGGTTTAACTCTGATCCTCTTGTTTATCTCTGGGTTTAACTTTGATGCCCCTGTGAATCTTTGGATTTATTTTTGATGTCCCGGTGAATCTCTGGGTTTAACTTTGATGCCCCTGTGCATCTCTGGGTTTAAGTCTCTCCAACATTTAGCACGTCTCCATTGCTATAGAACAGGGTCAAGTGCTTGTCATTTTAAAGCAACGGCTCTTAACCTGTGGGTCGTGACCTCTTTGGGGGGTCGAACAACCCTTTCCCAGGGGTCGCCTAAGATCATAACACAAATACTCTACAGTTACGAAGTAGCAACGAAAATTATTTTGTGGTTGGGGGTCGCCACAACTTGAGAAACTGTATCAAAGGGTCGCGGCATTAGGAAGGTTGAGAACCACTGTTTTCAAGTCCAAGCGGAAATGACTTTTCCCATGTTATAACACAGGAGCCGTAAAACTAGCACCGGAGGGCAATTTTAGTTCAACAGAGTCTAAGACTCCACATTGCACTATTCATGGACAAGCATTGTGTGGAACATACATAAGGATTTATCGTCTTTCTCCTCATTGCACTGTTCATGGACAAGCATTGTGTGGAACATATTTGGATTTATCGTCTGTCATGAAACATTCGATTTTAATAGTGAACTTCATTTGCTCCCATGCCCCCCATTATTGTCCGGTCGGCGAAACTATGACTAAAAGCACTCAAAGCGGAAGATGCCTACGTCACATAGCACACTTGAGACAAGTGGCTTAGTTGGGAGAGAGTTTCGTCGCCATTTACCCCCCCCCTCAAAACGAGAGCTGAAATTGAGATTATATAAAATGGGAAAAAATTCCATGAATTGTTTTATTTTGTAAACTTTGGAGATGAGCCTCCCCCCCCCCCCCCCCCAAATTAGGTTTGACCAGACATGTGAACGAATTGAATCTTCGGTTGCGAGGCCAAACCCCGCTTGTCTCCGCATGTCGACCGATAGGAAGGCATTGACCAAAACAAAAAAAACAAAAAAATTCTTGACGGGTCCAAGTGGAGGGGGAGATAATGCACTGAATTCTCACAACAGGCAAAAAGTTCATTGTGACCTAAGATAACAGATTCTGGGATATTTGACGCATCGCCATCACCATTTCGCCCACGACCATTTCGCCCAAGGTTTAAATGTGTGTGTGAGTTTGTCTGTCAGCCCCTTCCTACTGGATTTATGGGAATAAACCTTTTTTAATTTTAAAGTTACATTTTTGTTGTTGTTGCAATTTTAGTGCCCCCCCCCCATTTTTCCTCCTGTCAAATACTTGAGAGTCGGTGTGTATGTGTGTGGGGGGGGGGGATTTGTATGACATAATATTTTATTTGATCTTTCGTGGTTGTGGCTTGGCTCTCAAAATATCGTGGTTGTGGCTTGGCTCTCAAAATATCGTGGTTGTGTCTTGGCTCCCAAAGTATCGTGGTTGTGGCTTGGCTCACAAAGTAGCGTGGTTGTGGCTTGGCCCTCAAAATATCGTGGTTGTGGCTTGTCTCACAAAGTATCGTGGTTGTGGCTTGGCTCTCAAAAAAGCTATGACCCCCCCCCCCCCATATGTGACAGTGAATTCTTTCTATGCCCCAGCCCTATTTTTTTAAATATGAGACAATAAATTGTTTTAATGGCCCACCCTACGCATGAGACAATAAATTGTTTTAATGGCCCACCCTACGCATGAGACAATAAATTGTTTTAATGGCCCACCCTACGCATGAGACAATAAATTGTTTTAATGGCCCACCCTACGCATGAGACAATAAATTGTTTTAATGGCCCACCCTACGCATGAGACAATAAATTGTTTTAATGGCCCACCCTACGCATGAGACAATAAATTGTTTTAATGGCCCACCCTACGCATGAGACAATAAATTGTTTTAATGGCCCACCCTACGCATGAGACAATAAATTGTTTTAATGGCCCACCCTACGCATGAGACAATAAATTGTTTTAATGGCCCACCCTACGCATGAGACAATAAATTGTTTTAATGGCCCACCCTACGCATGAGACAATAAATTGTTTTAATGGCCCACCCTACGCATGAGACAATAAATTGTTTTAATGGCCCACCCTACGCATGAGACAATAAATTGTTTTAATGGCCCACCCTACGCATGAGACAATAAATTGTTTTAATGGCCCACCCTACGCATGAGACAATAAATTGTTTTAATGGCCCACCCTACGCATGAGACAATAAATTGTTTTAATGGCCCACCCTACGCATGAGACAATAAATTGTTTTAATGGCCCACCCTACGCATGAGAGAATAAAGAGAGGGCGAGTCCGGATAACCAACTTTTCGGTTAATCAACGTCCTACTGTAGACTTTCTAATTGTTTAACACTATTTTAACAACCTCTAAAACTATAGTAATCAATTTTGCGTTGAAATGATGTCTACATCTTTGTTGGTCAATTGGCCGTCGGCGAATCGGTGGTGGGGAAGTTACGGTGGCGAATGGTCCCTCCCACCCCAACCCCCACCCCCAGGTTCGGAAAAGTTTTTTTCTATCTGGATAATAGTTTTTTTGTTTTTTTTAATAATTAAATAATTCGAGTCTTCCCAAACCAGTTAGATGGTTGTTGTTTTGTGTTTGTTTCTTGTGTTGTTGTGTTATGATCTGTTGGCCGAACTTGCCATGCAGGTGATTGATCTGAAATGCAATAGGTTGAAAGAGATGTCCAAAAAAAGATGAAATTCATGGAGGTGTCTGACACGCGACCAATGGCTCGTCGTTTGAAAGTGACCTGCTGGTGAATTCGTCCCAGGCGTCGGCCCTGCGTGCTTGTGTGAGGAGACATTAACATTAAACATGTTTTCCCTTGCCTTGTGTCATATATTTCCAGAAGTTACGTAGCCGGTTTTGCCAGTGGCCTGTGTGGCAGGTTTTGCCAGCGATAATGATAGCTAATAAGGTAAACGGTGCGCCCCCCCCCCCCCCCCCCCGATTGTGTTGTTTTATTATTAACCTTGGATCAGTCATTAAAAAATAAGTAGTACATATTTTACAGATATTTTTTTGAAAAAAAGTATTTATTTTAAGGTACCATTGCTATTTGGCCGTCAGTAACCATTTGGCCGTCAGTAACCATTTTGCCGTCAGTAACCATTTGGCCGTCAGTAAACATTTGGCCGTCAGTTAACATTTGGCCGTCAGTAACCATTTGGCCGAGAGTAACTATTTGGCCGTCAGTAACAATTTGGCCGTCAGTAACAATTTGGCCGTCAGTAACAATTTGGCCGTCAGTAACTATTTATCCGTCAGTGGCAGATTCTGAAAGAGGGAGGAAGGGTGCCTTAGTTTGTCTGCCTTAATAAGTCCACCTTAGTTTGTCTGCCTTAATATGTCTGCCTTAGTTTGTCTGCCATATTATGTATACATCAGTATTTCTGCTTTAGTATGTCTACATCAGTATTTCTCAGCCTTACTACAGAGGCGTAGCGAAGGGGGGCGGGGGGACAGATGTCCCCGGGCGCCATCCAGTTAGGGGCCCAGAATGTGCTTTGATATTATTTTATTGATTGAAATAATTAGTTTGAGAGTTGAAAAAAGGAAAGTTGGCGCTTTAAAATGGATCTTTCCCCCGGCGCAAATCACTCTAGCTACGCCTCTGCCTCAGTATGCCTGCTTTAGTTTGTCTGCTTTAGTTTGTCTACCTCAGTATGCCTACCTCAGTATTTCTGCCTTAGTATGTCTCCCTTCGTATGTCTGCCTCAGTATGTCTGTCTTAGAATACCCATTGTTCCCAACACTCTAAATTATTATTTTTTGACCTAACACTACCTGAAAAATTTAGGAGATTAACCGAAATACAGAGTCAGATGTATCCTATACTCTCTGCTTACAGCAAGGCTGCCTAACATGGGGCGCTCGCACCCCATTGGATGCAAAGGGATAATTGAGGGATGCGAGAAAGAGTTGGGGTTTTTTTTCTTTCTTTTTTTTTTTTTTCTATTTTAAAATGCATTGTAACTGTTGCAGAGGCTGCGTGACGTAGTCAAGCTGAAAGATTTGGGGTTTTTTTTCTTTTTTTTTTTTTTTTTTCTATTTTAAAATGCATTGTAACTGTTGCAGAGGCTGCGTGACGTAGTCAAGCCACCTGTTCAACCCAAAATACCATAGTCACGGGAAGGCTATTTTTAGCTCCCCACCCTATGCCATGCCAGATAGTCCTTGCATCATCATCATCATCTTCAACATCTTATCTTTTTTATCTTTTATTGAATTTAGACGACATAGTTTATTTAAGTTCTTTTGTAAACCACGTGACACGAGCTGTGATCATTAAACATTACAAATAGCGCGTGGTGTGGTTACGATGCTTCATCCAAGTATACAACATCAGAGACGAACAAATAAATTAAAATCGATTTCAGCAGTACACCGGTTGCTTTAAGGATAGCTTCATACCGGTGTACTGCTGAAATGTGTCCAGTAAATGTGTCCCTTACAGGCAAGCAATATGGAGCAAAGCACCGCATGGTGAACGTTAAACTTCATTACGTTATTTGGTATATTTTTGTTTTCTTAGTGGTGGTGTGCTGCCGAATTATCGGAAATGCCTTAGGTGTGCCGCGAGAGAAAAAATGGTTACAGAGCTCTGATTTACAGGACTTAATTGATTTCAATTATTTTTCCTGATTTCTTTTTGTTTTTATTCCCTTCAAAGGCAAAGTCATACTTTTTGGGTTGGTAATCTAATTATAACGTATTTGAAATTGAGATCCTCTGTAAGAATGGAACTTTGAAAAGAGGTTGCCAGTGGCTAAAGTATTGTGGGGAAACTACTGAATGACTCAGGGGATGATGTGGTTAGAAAAAGACTTGGTAGCAATGACGTACTGCAGTAATCAAGTAATGCAGTAATCAAGTAGAGCATCATCATTGTTGTGGTGAAGTATTTATCTGGTATTGATTGCTTTCTTATTTCATGACGTCATGTCATAGCTGTCAGTTCAGAAATCTGGTATTGTACTGGAACAAACTGGTATATAAAGACAGAGTTTGGACTGGACCTAACTGGTATATAAAGGCAGAGTTTGTACTGGAACTAACTGGTATATAAAGACAGAGTTTGGACTGGAACTAACTGGTATATAAAGGCAGAGTTTGGACTGGACCTAACTGGTATATAAAGGCAGAGTCCAAGAATTTAGAAGTAATACTAATAGGTGATTGTGACCTTTGGGTTTCTTTGGTGACCTTTGGTTTCTTTGGTGACCCATTCATTGACGCACTGGCTGACACAATACAAAGTTCTAGTAGCTACTCCCGCTGGAGTTTGATCTTAGTGGTGAAATTGGTTACACTGTGAGAATAACCGAACATACTGAGTTTTTTTTTAAATGAACACATGACCTACGTGACAGCTGTCATGTTTTTGTACATGAAATCAGTAATATCAATGAATTTTTTAAAAAGTAATTAAGCGCTATAGAAAACACAGATGCGCAGCGAGCTAGTACAAACTATTACAAACTGGTAAAAACTAGTACAAACTCGAACAAATTAGAGAAAGATGGAGTGCACCTCAAAGGGACATAATTCGTTTGCAAACTGTTTACAAATCATTATGGGTAGCCCTACATCCCTCCAAACAAACAAACAAACCTTCTCTATGTAGGCCTTTGTAAGGTGGTGAAACAGCAATAAGGGAAATAAGCGTTATGCTAAACTATATTCAAGTGTGCCTAAGTCGACAATTTTACTTGTGATTTTCAGATTGTAGAGCTGGTTGAATCTCCCTAAGACGTAAGAATGGGTTTCTTCTCTGGATGTGTCAGACTCTTGTTCATTGTCTTCAACTTCATTTTCTGGGTAAGTTTGTTTACAGTCAAAAACTCAATGGTTAACGGAGTGCTCAATGATAATAGTAGAGTCATTATGACGAAAAAAATGTGGCAAAGGTTATAGTGATATTGTTATAAGCAGTGTCAACTGAATGTTCATAGATATTGTAGGGCTTTTCAATTGTCATACAATCATAGCAGCATATTATTTCATATTGGTATCTATGTATTTAAAATATTAAACAAAAATGATTCTTGGTTATATATATATATGTATTATTTGACATAATGGAAAGAAAATTGTCTCTGTTTAATTATAAAACATTATTTTAAAAGATTTTTAAAAAATTTCTGTCTTCATTTCATTAAAAAAAGATTTTTTTAAACAGTTCTCTGTTTCAGTTGTGTTTAGAATAATTTTTTTACAGTATAACTTTATTGTTTTCACAACACAAATGAACACTCTGATTTATTGACAGTTGTCTGGCGCTGCCATTTTGGGTGTGGGGATATGGATTCTGGTAGATCCACAACTCAAAGAATACATGAAAGTCATCAAGGACGGCACCCAGGATGAAGAGTTCCTCAAGATATCGGCATACATTCTCATAGGCTTTGGAACGTTTGTATTTCTGGTGGGATTTTGCGGTTGCTGCGGTGCCATTCGCAGTAGCAAGTGTCTGCTTGGATTTGTGAGTTCTACCAATTTAAGGACACAATATTAATTGATAGCAGTTCTTCTATTTCATAACAACTTCCGATTAAAATAACACTTGTGTACATTACTAGCCATTACTTATTTCATACTAACTTTTGATTGGTTACTTATTTCATACTAACTTTTGATTGGTTACTTATTTCATACTAACTTTTGATTGGTTACTTATTTCATACCAACTTTTGGTTGGTTAAAATAACTCTTGGCTCTTTAAATACCGGTAGTATGTGAGAGAGATAATTGAAAGACACAAGTTTGGCCTGTTAACATAATATGTGTTGAAGCTGCACTTCTGACAAACAACATAATCAGTGTTTGGCTAAAAACTTTCTCAGTAGACACAATTTGTATAGATTATACTTAAATTTATTCCATGACATATAATGTACAATAAATAATCATTACAAGAATGAAATAAGAGCTAAAATGGCCGAGCAGGGAGCGGCCTCAACAGCAGGTAGCGGGCCACTAGGCTTAAAAAATAATATCAATCGGAAAAATTATGATAAAATAAATAACTATTGAAACAAAAACCTATCTTTGTAACCAATAGGTGACTTCATGAAGTAGTTACATACAGCTATATCATTATTTCTATACCTATCTTTGTAACCAATAAGTGACTTCATGAATTAGCTACATCTAGCTATATCATTATTTCTATACCTGTCTTTGTAACAAATAAGTGACTTCATGAAGTAGCTACATCCAGCTATATCATTATTTCTATACCTGTCTTTGTAACCAATAAGTGACTTCATTAAGTAGCTACATCCAGCTCTATCATTATTTCTATTATCATTATTTCTGTGTCAAACATGCCCTTGACGTGGTTTCATCTGTCTGCCTCCACAGTATATCTTCTGCCTGGTCTGTGTTTTTGCTGGAGAACTGGCTGCTGGCATCTATGTGGCAGTCTTTAAAAATGATGTGAGTTTATCAGTCTGTGTTTACCTTGTCGTATCATTTTTTTTGTTTTTCTTACAGAATATTTGATTCAGTTAATATTAATGATGTCTTTCTTAATCCAAACATTTTCCTGCTTAGCTATCTCTACATTACCTTGTATGAGATAACTGAGGTTTTTTTTGTGAGACAGAGAGGGATTGAAATTTATGCCAATTGGTTCTTGTAAAGAATTTCACTGCATGTTTTTGTGCTGACATTGTCTAGGGTATGACTCTTACACCGGTGGGCAAGAAGAACACTTGACACAAAATCATTCCCAATTCGAATAATTTAAAGTTTATCACACTTACTACATTAATTCATGGTTTCATCTGTACTAACGCAATTAATCCAATAAGTACAGTACGTTTCACTAACAAACTTAGCCAAAAAACTATGTACTAAAGAGATCACATGACTACACTGTTTTCTCTCTCACTCTCTTAATCGTTGCTGCTCCTCCCTCCCCCCTCCTCCCCCACCAACTCAACCAAACGCTCGCCCCCTTTGGTCACACAAGTTCCTATTCCAGCCACTTTTTTTTCCACACTCACGCCTGGACTACTTTCAAAAAATGACTTACTAACCTATCATCAGGGATTCTCACCTTGTCGAAGCTTAAAGCTTGGGAAACCAGCAGTGAAAATTATGAACCAATGAAGCAACAATTTGATTTTGAAAAACTACCTAATATAATATTATTTGAAAATTTTCAGATTGATGGCAAACTTAACAAGGGCTTGGTGGACTCCATCAAAAAGAATTACTTTGGAGAGATGGGTCCGACATGGGACATTATTCAGAAAGAAGTAAGAACGTAGAACTGGGGTGTTTTAACTGTTGGGCACAAAATTAACATAGAAATTAGAATGAAAAAATTTATTTTGTTACCTCCAAAACTCATGTTTCATGCAACTAAAGGTAACTGATGGCAAGTAAGGTAACTAAAGGTAATTTAACTCAATAATTTTGTGTTGATAGTATTTAGAACATTACAAGAGCTTGATGTCTAATATTTATTCATTAACATAAAAAAACTCCCATCCATCAAGCTATCTAATAAAAGGTCTTTGAACAAGACATAGAAAGGCCCAAAAGTCATTTGGTCTTGTGACCTCAGAGTAATACCTCTTTTTTTGCCATTTTCTAGTTATTAAGAAGACTTTATTAGCATAAAATCTGATTGAATTTTCTTCCTACTTAACAATTACCTGCCGTAGAGGGCTGATGATCAATTCTGTATTGATAAAAATATCTCTTGTGAGTGAACCTTCCTCGACCTACCTCTTTTACTAGGCACCTAGGGAACATTTTAAAATAGAATAATAATTTTATTATAAATTAAATAATCATCTGTTTCAGCTCAAGTGCTGCGGTGGAAACTCTTATTTGGACTATGAAAACAGCACATGGGCCCGCAATCAAACCAATGTGAGTAACTGGTTCGTGACTGGCCCAGGAAATATTAAGAAAAGATAAATCTATTCCTCTCCTTCAGCTTCTCGGATGAACATTTACACAAACCTTGATTCACAAGTATTTAATACTATGTATTCCATTTGCCACTAATCTGAATTGAACTGGACCACGTAAAGCTGTTGAAATAGAATTTATTGATGCATTAATTAAAAAGGTTTATAGTGTATCATAGTTGTTCCTGGTCCTCACTTTCATGTAATCAAAGAGTTGTAGAAAACACGCTTAAGAAATGTAAACATATCATATAATGTAGATTATGCATTGCCCTACTAACTGCAGAGATCATACATTCTTACAGGGAGCCAAGGTTCCATTGAGCTGTTGCGTTCTGGAAAAGGAAAAGCCAATTAATGAAACTCTCTGTCAGCAGACCAAAGAAAATTATTTTTATTCTAAGGTAATTTATCTTGAAAAAACAAAAAATATAATGTGTTTAAATCTTCCTTGGGGTCTTCAGATTAAAGATCTATGTTTTTAAATTATAATGTTATCAATAAAGTGTGATGATAAGCTATCTGGTGTATGAGAAATATGACATCATTGCCATCAGACATTTAACACTATTATTTTGTTTTCATAGAACTTAATAACTTGAGCTGTTTTGAGGAATTCAAAAGGAGCTGCCCGTTGATTGTTACGTCTTCACTAACTAAATGCTGACCTCATCTCTGTGACTAAATTTTTCTCCCATTTGCTCTGTTAATAGATTTCCGCCATTAAATGACAAGCCCTTTAACTCTGGTTAGAAGTAACAATTAAATTTAATTGAAAATTTTGTGTATATTTAGGGTTGCCGTGAAGCCTTGTTAGACTGGGTGAACAGTCACAGTGCTATTCTCATTGGTGTTGGTTGTGGTATTGCAGCCCTGGAGGTATGTTACACTACAATAAATATGTGTAGAGGATTACGGTTGTTTCTTTGTGTCACACAGATAGCTCTTTATCTCTTTGATATCATGATGGCTTTTTCTTTTAATATTTACAAGGTTTGTACAACTTTGAGAGTGAAAATATTTCATCATCAGCTGACCACAGTGAAATAAACAAAATAACTTATATCAGGAATCAGAAAAATATGAAATTTAATCATTTTCAAAATGGCAGACTTGTTAGGTCATTTATTAGATTAGAGTTGTAAAAGCACTGCATGTGAATCAAGGTAATATAAAAAAAATCTGGACTAACTACAGTAAGTCCAGATTTACTGTAGGATAATTAGCTTTAAAAAATATCTTGGAACTATTCTTCCAGTTCTGTGAGAAAAAAAAATCTACACCATAAAAATAATGTTAAATTTGGCTATGTAAGGTAACATTATTTATATAAACTTGTAAGGTAACATTATTTATATAAACTTATTTTGACAGATCATTGGTCTCATCTGTGCCATCTGCTTCTGTCGTCACATCGACAGAGAAAAGTATGACAGCAATTAGGACATCTCAGAGAGTTTTTACCTTCATCTGCTAGCAGTGGACTTGTGAAGTGTCTGGGATAGTTGATGTAGATACTGAAGGGCAAAGAGACCTGCTGGTGCGGTTGTCAGGGAGGAAATGACATGTGCGGTGCTGATGATTTAAATTCCTCTATTTCAAATTTTTACATATATGGGTTCGCATTTAAATACCTAAATATTCATATTTTTAAGAGGTGTTTTTCATGTTATTTTAATATTAACAAATGGCAGTCTTAATAAAAAAAGGTAATTTTTAAAATTGCTACTTATACTTTTTAACGGTTTTTAATTCAACTTGGTAAATCTTTTTCAAGTGTAGTGGTGTGTATGGCTTTCGGAGGTGGGGAACGACCTGATTTTTTAACGTTTATTTGTAAATGTTATTGGAGTTCATTGGATTTTTGCAAAGATGTTTGAGGTATTTTATGAAACATGGCAATAGCGCAGGAAGCACAATGATCTTCCAGGTCAAAAACTGAACCAGTCAGAAATATTTTGTCTTGCAACGTAGACATGCTGAAGGTAATATCAAGAGAAAAAAAATACTCATAATATGATGTAAGTTGCATGCAATATTAAATTTTTTTAAAGTTTTTCTGATAATGTAAGCTATTTTTAAAGTTTTTCTGATAATGAAAGCTATTTTTAAAATTTTTCTGATAATGAAAGCTATTTTTAAAGTTTTAACATAGGTAACGTTTTGTGGGTCATTTAATATTTTTGTAAACACCTGCAAATATTTTTATCTCATAATTTAAGATGAAACTAAGAATAAAATATATTTATGCTATTCAAAAATTCTTCAACTTAAAATCAAAGAAATCTCTTAATTAATAATACATGAATAATTTACTAGGCATTTACTTGAACAATTATAACTTCAAGATAGCTCAGTAGCTGCAGCTATTGATAAAGATAATATTATGTACATCTTTAAAAATATTAGATTAAATTCAGGAAATTTGTAGGAAAATAAAATTAGTGCTATTTAATAATATTTAAAAGCCAGTTTGTATTTTCATTATACAAAATTGTTTAATTTTTACATCATTAACATAATACAATAACTAAAATTGTTGTCAGTAACTTGAATAGAATCTTGTGTTCTTGTGTTTCTTATTCTGAGGTAGAACCTTATGTTCCTGTGTTGCAAGCAGTTCAGTAGGCTATTGTTTTATGAAACAAAATGAACACATTGTTTTACAATCCAGTGCAAAATTTACAATCAAATGCACTATAACAAAATTATTGGTAATGGAACATGGTTATTTATAAAAAAATTATTTTTGTCTATTTTAAAAAACATTTTAATTTCTCTGTTATTGAAATCAAATTCTGTAAAATTGTCTCTGTGATACAGAAAGCTTTACCTGTTAAATTTGGAGACATTTTGGGTACACTTCATGAGGCAAATCATCTTGTGATTAAATATTTGAGATTTATCAATGTACATATGTGAGCTTACTATTCAACAAATTTTATTTTCTCCATGACACTTAATTTTTTTTTAAATTTGTCCACTCTACTTTAGAGCCATAAATTAAATTTCAAAAGTAAACATTGCAACATTAGCAGTTTGAAATAAAGACATTGATTTGAAGATTATTTCAATCCCATCAACAGTTTGTTGATACTTTTCTAATGAAAATCTGTTTAATATCATTAATTTATTCTCATTTTGCTTTCATCTAAATACGCCATGAGGTATTAAAAAATTAAAAAACTTCATTACTGCCTTGCACATAAAAGAAATATCTCCAGTAGACGTTTACAAACTATTTCAATATAGTATAGAACTGTAGTTTTTTGTGGTGTTTTTGTAAAATAAGTTTCATAAGAGTTTGTTATATGGTAAATAATGAAATAATATTTTTTTTATTTGCTTTAAAACAAATATATTTATGAATATTTTTGATCTGTTAAGGTTTCATCACTTGGATGTTAAACTCAACACTTTCTGTTTATCTAAATTTTTCTTCTTAAACTTAAAATATATATTGTTATTGAGGGCCTTTCTGATACTATTCTTAATTTGGGATTCAGTGGGTTTGTTTTTATTGTAGTATCCAAACCTATTCTTTCCTTTTATAACTATAATTGTGAAAAATATATTTTTGAACAAATTGTGTATACAACTTACTGAACTTAAGAACACTTAATTCATAGTTCTGTGGTTCCAACTCTGTGCCCACAAAGAACCAATTTAATTTGACTTGACTTAAGTGTAGACGGGATGAAGTCATCTGTCTCCTGGCAAGCTTGGTTAATAGTTCCTGTATTTAAGTGTGCAGCTGGTCTCAATATACTAAATGTTATCTATCTATTAAAATATATGTATAATAAAAGTTAGAATAAAATATCAAGATAAGTCTACTTTACTTTATTATTGAGAACTTGCTATTGTCCTCTCTGTAATATGAGTCAATTGTAAATGTTTAATTTCAGTAATTCATCATGTTCTTGAAGTTGTGTTTTTTCTTAGAGCGTTAAAGTGCATATAATTTCATTTGATATTTTAAAGTAAGCTTTTTTCATAACCTATTCCATCATGTATTCTAATTTTTTTGTACAGGGGGTCCCATCCATCCAGTATTATTTTAGTTATAGTCTAATCAACAGGAATTTTAAAAAATGGAACAATCATTATTTTATCAGAACACTTGAAACGCCTTATCATTTTTCATATACCTTAAGCCTGGATACGATTTTACAAAACATTATTTCAGTCCTTTGTACTTAGTGATTTCCTAACACTTGCAATTTTTGCTTTTGCATGATGTATATTCACTGTATAGGGTTTCCTCTATAAGCTTGTGCAATTTTTGTTACACTATAAATGTACATAATTAAGTTATGTGTCCTTCCTGGTTTTTAGCTGGGAAATGTAAATTGCTTTACTCTATAATTTATATTCTTGTATTTACATTTTTTAAATTATTTTTTTTCATTAAACTTTTAATGCTTGAGTTGTTGGTGTGTACTGGAAAATTAAATTTTTTTAAAAGTCACTCTTGGGACCTAGTTTCTGGAGGATGAGAACAAAATCTTAGAATTTTATGAGCTGTGGTGTACATGATTCTAGTTGTATACAAGATAATTAATATTATTTAGCACATCAAGAAAATAGTTCAGACATCAAACTGAACGTAATCTATCAGAGATATTAATAGGTGCTTCAAAACACTTTAAAGGCTCAACTATTTCCTGTGAATCATCCAATGCCTGGTTAAATCCACTGTGCTGTTTAATTAATTATCATTCAGATAAAACACAAAAGTTATAGTTGGACTTATTTTACCCTTCTTTAAATTTGGAAAATTATGCCCATTAATTACCATTGCTACGGTACCTCAATAAGGTTTAACTGTGTCAAAATATTTTTTTTTATGTTTTCCTCAACTTTAGTTTATTTACTTGTGAAAATTATTTTTTTAAATCTTTATTATATAGAATACTAAAAAATCTAACTTCAGTAAGCTGGTCTTAAGATTACATTTTTTATGCTATTAAAAGTATTTTTTGTGTGTTAAGTTTATAATATTTTTTTTTCTTTAAAATATCTAAATTTGTAAACAGTTTGACCTTACCGGAAGGTGGTCCCAAGTTTAGTGATCTAAAACAGGTCCCAAGTGAAATAAATTTATGTTTATGCAAGATGAGAACCTCTATGAGAAATCTATTTGCCTTATTATTGCTCCTTACCTTTTTGTATTCTTCATTTTACATAAATTTGTATAATCCTCATGTTCACCCTTTTTTATTAAATTATGGTCCTTTTAACAAAAATATAAAATTACCTTGTGTTTTATGTTTCCTTATGAAATCATCAACAAAGTTTTCAAAGATAGTTTTCTGAAATTTTGTCACCAAATGCCAAAACTGATTAAGTTTTTTTTAAAGTAGAGAATAAGTTATAATTAAAGACATCAGATACATGACTGATTTAGATTTGATGACTGTTGAATTTTTGGCTGATTTCCAATAAAGATGAAGACTCTTGACTTTCATATGTTAGATTAATTTGTTTGTATGATTAATTAAAATTCTAAATTTTTAATTTATCTTCCTACTTTTATCTTCCTAAAAATGATTGATTATTCCTGGAATGTTTTATAAAAAAATTCATATATATGATTGTAAATCAATGCTGATTGTTGGGTTGGCTTAGCTCTGTATTGACAGAATGTTCTTGTAAATACAGTTGTAACCTCAAGAAAATTGTCTACTGCCTTTTGGCAATTTTTGTGACTGGAACTCATTAGTAAATGGTTTATCAGTCCAAAAAAGACTCAAAATAATATCAGAGAAAATAAAATTTTAATTGCATTAGAGCTGCTATCATTATAGTGAATACAGTTTTAATTGCATTAGAGCTGCTATCATTATAGTGAATACAGTTTTAATTGCATTAGAGCTGCTATCATTATAGTGAATACAGTTTTCATTGCATTAGAGCTGCTATCATTATAGTGAATACAGTTTTAATTGCATTAGAGCTGCTATCATTATAGTGAATACAGTTTTAATTGCATTAGAGCTGCTATCATTATAGTGAATACAGTTTTCATTGCATTAGAGCTGCTATCATTATAGTGAATACAGTTTTCATTGCATTAGAGCTGCTATCATTATAGTGAATACAGTTTTAATTGCATTAGAGCTGCTATCATTATAGTGAATACAGTTTTATAGAAAAATACCAGAATTTGAATTTTAAAAAAACTATTTAAAAAATTTTTTGTTGAAGTTCCTAATCCTGTTTGAACCCTTAACTAACTGAATGGTTTACAGTGAATGAAAGAAATATGAAAACACTGATGTTCTTGAGCCTGAGATAAACACTGATGCTCTTGAGCCTAAAATAATTACTGATGTTCTTGAGCCTAAGATAAACATTGATGTTCTTGAGCCTAAGATAAACACTTATGTTCTTGAGCCTAAGATAAACTCTGATGTTCTTGAGCCTAAGATACTTCTCTTCAATTGATAAATGTATTTTTTGTTGTGCCAGCTGTATGACTTCATCCAAATCTTCTTGACCATCCATGATTTTAACTCAGCACTTTTCAAGCTACCGCTCATTTGTCTTTTAAGTTGGAATAATAATTTTAAAGAAAAAAAACAATTAATTGGGAGGCATCACTAGAAACTTTGCACTCCCATGCAACTATGTTCATCTAATGATAATATATGGGCAGGCCCTGATTGTATTTGTAGATGGAAATGTATCCATATTGGAAAACAGAAATAGTTCTATTTTATTGATGTATATTGTGGAAAAATATATAGAATAGAATGTAGTTGTAGTTATTCATTCCTGAAATATTTGTAAATGTTACAAAGCTAAACATTGAAAATTTTTTTTTTTTTTTTTTTAAAAAAAAAAAAAAAAAAAAAAAAATTAAAATTTTTTTTTTTTTTTTTTTAAAAGAAAAAAAAAAAAAGAGAAAGAATTTGATATTAGTTTAATGTTCTGATTCTAGTCATTTTATTTATCTTTCTCATATTCAAGAACTTGTATGCTTGTTGCCAACTAAATTTAAATTTTTACATTTTTATATACAAATCAAAACTTATTTTTTTACTGGAAATTAATGTTTAGATTGTTTTCTTTTTTTTTTAAGAAGAGTCATTATTTAGTTAACTTAACATGAAAAAGATGAAATATTGGATCTATATTTGAGGTATAAACATTTCTAATTTTTCTCAACCTTATGCAACTTTTCATACAACAATACAGGATATCTTTGTGTCATAGTGCTAAATAAAAGCTGTGTCCTCATCTGGTATCTGTTTTTGTTGATGTATTAGTTTAGAAGACATGACAAACTTTAAACATCTGAGAATTGGCACAAGTCTGGAACAGTGTTTCTTTCAGACAATTTCCTCCGTGGGGGTGGGGGGTGCAGGGCCAGCGGAAAGAGGCCTAGCAAAGGTGGGCATGTATGACCCTTGGGCCCCAGATAATGGGGGTATCTAATGGGCTTTTATTGTATTATTGGATGAAATAAGTGGATAAACAATTACACCCGAAACAACAGAAATGCTTCAAAGTGCCTAAGGGCAACACAGTGCAGTATAAACAAACTTTCTTCCCAAGCACAATAATAGCATGGAACCACCTGATCGATGCCACTGTGAACTCGACATCGGCCAAAAGCTTCAAGGCTGCCCTGACATCAGTGATGCATATTTTAATTCACTGTTTCTTTCAGACAATGTATAAAGGGGCATTTCATTTCAGACTTTCATATTTTTACTATTAGATGTCTCCCGGAGAAATACTACGAATAAAACATCAACATAGACAAACTATTTGTGGACTACTGAAGAGCTTATAATAGCATAAACAGGAAATGGCTAACAAACTTACACGGCTCATGGCTTACTCTAAAACTATTAAAGTAGAAGCAAAGTACAGGGAAAGAACTCGAGAGTTCCCAGTTAATCAGGGCCTCGGACAAGGAGATTCATGTTTCCTTGTCAACATCACGTGAGAAAGAGGTATTAGAAACATAGCCATGTGAGCAGCAGGGAAACCATTACAAACTACTCCCAGGGAGGTACCGTTGTAAAGAACAACAACCATCAGGAACTTTACAAGGCCAGCCACTGCAGTACCTGGCATATGAAGACGATATAGCGCTAATTGGTAGAAACAGCAATGATATCATTAAAGCATTCAGAGAACTTGAAGATGCCTCTGTCAAAGCTGGTGTTGGGGTAAATGAAGCGAAGACAAAATATATGATAATGTCACGAAACATGACAACATCAATACAAACAAACACACCTTTTAGAAAGTAAGGGGTGACTATAAATGAGCACAATAAAATAAAGGCGGAGGTGAAAGAAAGGATAACGTCGGGCAGCCTTTCTTATTTCAGCCTACAAAAGCTATTAGGAAGCAAAAACCTCTCTAGGGGAACAAAAAAGGCAATAAACACCACTGTCATAGGACCACCTGCTCAATACATGGGAGAGGAAAATTCTCAGGAAAATATATGGTCCGGTTATAGACAATTTTGTTTTGGGAATCCCTACAAACCAAGAGATATATCAATTGCATAAAGACCCATCCATAGTCGTAAGAAAAGGCAGACTGCCCTGGGCAGGACACATTGAAAGGATGCCGGATTGTAGAACAGCAAAAACGATCTGCAGGCGGAATTCTAGGGGCAGACACTCACCGGTCGACCAAGACTAAGTTGGATCGACAACGTAGAGAAGGGCTTACAGCTGAATGGGGCTTAGTATAGGTTGTGCTGTAAATATTATAATTATCAACTTTTAATGCTAGATGGAGAAAGACAAAACCGAAAAGTAGCAGGGGGGGGGGGGGCGGACACAAAAATTCAAGCAAGGTGTCACTTGACCTGGTGTGTTTTACAAATATTTTTTTTTAGTAATGAGGTTTTTAAAAAAAAAATTGGGGGGATAGACTACTTAAAAAATAAATGAATTTACAACAACAAAAAAATGTTTAAACTTCCGTTGTTCCCCAAACTGTGAAAATTAAAAATTTAGAAACGCACTCGATTTAAAATAATTGATGAACCGTCCACTAGTTGAATGCAAACGTTAAATTCCTAATTTTTGTTTTAAAGTATCACTTATTTTTTATTTTTTTTTAGTTTTCATTTTTTTCTAACTCAACATACATTAATGGAATCGAGTACCGGTATGTTGAAATTCATGCTAAAACGGCATATTTTACAGCATGATGCTAATAATTGCTATTATAGTAAGTATATAATAGTATATATAATATATACTATATACATTTTATAATTAACTATTAACACTAATTTCTACCTAACCTAATTTGAAAACAGATTGCACATGTTAAAAATACTTAGTTAGCAAGAACTAAATTCAATTTATAGATATACATATTGATGTGCATTTAATTTAACACAGTTTACACAGTGTTATTAAAGTTTTTCAACTTGTAAAGATGCAAAATTAAATAAATAAAAAATGCCGATAAATGCGAACAATAAAAAGTAATACTTTAGTTTATGATCAGGAGCGGCATATTTTCAAAACAATACGATATTTATAATCGAATCTTTAAGCCTGTGACAAGCTTAATCTGAGCCTGAGCGATATAGATCATCAATATATATCGAGCAAAGCGACATTTTATTGGTTCCATTAATTGTAATCGTGAAAGGCACAAATTTCTATTGCATTAAAGTATTAAAGAAAACGAAACCTGAAAAAAGGAACGCAACAAAACAACGAACGTGTCGGCAGGAAGCCTTCGTCAGCAAACAAAACAACAGAAACAACAGAATAAAATTTAAAAAATAGGACTATGATAGGTACGTGATGAGGAGGGTGGGATGTTTCTTCCAAAAAGTTTTAGTTTTACAAATGCATTTTGCTACAAATGGCACTTCGAGCAAAGGTTATTTTGTTTTCTTGTTAAGTCTATTTAACTGGTATTGTTTTGATGAGAAACAATGAATTCCCATACCAGTAAGTGAAACCGAAGTTCAGTATGTTGGCACTGTAGGAATATATTAATAATTTGTTTTTTAACACTGATTTTTTATATTTTTTTTTAAATAAAGAAAAGTTTTTGGCTGAATTTTTTTATTTCTGGTATTAGGTGGTATTTAATTTAATGTTTCAATAAAAATAATTTTGTTGCATTTGTTTTTAAATGCTGTTGCTAAGTGTTACCTTATAATAGATTGTTTTTGTCTACTTCTCAACTCTTTTGTTGCTTTAGCACTTAATTTACAAACAATACTATAAGTACTTAATGCAGGTCGGATTGGGGAGGGGGTGGGAGAGTCAGATTGGAGAGTGGGTTGACACCTTGAGTTTAGCGTACCGGGTGACACCAATCCCAGTTATGCCTCTGCCTTAAGGTATCATTTAAGTTATCTCTTCATAATAATTTTTATACATATCCAGGGCCGGATTTTCCTTTAGGCTATGTAGACTTAAGTCTAGGTCCTCCAAAATGAAAGGGCATCACTATTAAAGAGACCATAAATATTCTGTTTACTTCCGCATTTAAAAATATAAATACCGGTATTATTTAAAAATTAATTTCCCTTAAATATAAATTTTAACAAATTCATCTTGAACAATTTATCATATATTATAGTTATAGGAATTAAGTCACTTTGTAGATCTGAGAAAACAAGAGTAGATATCATTTGAAAAAATCAACTAGAGACTTTTTAAATTTAAAAGTAAATTAAAGTGATTTTGAAAAAAAAAGTTCTTTCATTTTACCATTACAGGTAGTCAAACATTTTAAAATACACCATGTATGCATTATGGCACATTTTTAACATATTTACCAGAATTGCATACTTAAAATAAAATATGCATATTTCCAAACTTTAATTGTGTAACAATATTATCAGGAGTATCCTTACTCGGTACTATGAAAAATAATGCCATTTAAATTTGTTTCCTTTGAAATATTATTGGTTATGTCCGATTATAATCATTGATAAGCGTGTAATTATAGTAGAGCTTTGATTTTCCAAAACAATTTGGGACCAGGTGTGGTTCAGACAATCAAACAATTCCACAGGTAGACTCCAAAGTTAGTGTATAAAATATATTCTTACCTTAAAGTTAAACACGTGCCTTATTGTAGAGTGTATTCATATTACTGATAGATATTTTAGCTATTTTGAAAGAAAGTTGTTTAAAAACAGATGACTGTTAGTAAATGAAGTCAAATCTTCCTTGGTTTATTATTTGATATTGTTCCTTTTCATCCTGGTGTATTATGTGATAGTGTGCCATTGGTCCTGGTGTATTATGTGATATTGTGCCATTGGTCCTGGTGTATTATTAATTATGTGAAATTGTGCCATTGGTCTTGGTGTATTAAGTGATATTGTTCCCTTGGTCCTTGTGTATTATGTGATATTTTTTCCCTTCATCCTGGTGTATTATTTGATATTGTTCCCTTGGTTTATTATGTGATGTTGTTCCCTTCATCCTGGTGTATTATGTGATATTGTTCCCTTGGTCTTGGTGTATTATGTGATATTGTTCCCTTGGTCCTGGTGTATTATGTGATATTGTTCCCTTGGTCTTGGTGTATTATGTGATATTGTTCCCTTGCTCCTTTTGTATCAAGTGAGATTGTTCCTTTGGTCCTGGTGTATTTTATTTGTTTTATTTTGTTAGATGATGGTGAACAATCAATGCTCTACTCAAAAGACTAGAGAGAACTTTTCTGGCTGGTGGGAAAGGAAGAAGATCACCATCTGGTCAACAACAAGAAATTACTTCTTCAACTCCATGTTTTGATACAGGAAAATAACAAGTCATGGGAGCAGATAACTTTGAGCCTAATATTAGATTTCAATGAAATAAATGAATGTTTCTTAGTCTAAAGTTTTAGGAATTTACTCATGTCTGAACGGTATCTTTTCAGCTCGAAAATGTTCTTCTGAGCTTTGTTTTCATTAGGGACTTGTTCCATTCTTATTCTTTTCTTTCATTTTTAGGCAGGATATATATGTAATGAATATAGATATATACTTTGTAAATTTACTTTATACTTATATAATGTTTTACGTTGTACTGATGAAACATTTGCAGAAACTTTTGAATTTATATTTTGTGTAACTATAATTAAAGCTTAACATTAATAATATATATTTTTTTTATTTACATAAATTGTTGACTCATTAGTTCCCACAGAGTAAAGATGTACCACGTTATAAAGTTCGCAAAAGAGTGGGAAAAGTTATCAACAGATCCCTTTCAACTTTGAATTATGTACATTGTGTGGATCAAGTTTCGGATTTGGATTGCACAAGCCCCAGCCTTTTGTCTTTTGGAATTAATAAAGACAATGTAAGCTGGTTCAGTGCAAGAAGTAACTAATGAATTTATTATTGATTAATATGTTTTTCTGCTGTTGATTCAATTCATAGTTGGTATTGTTTGTTATGATGTCATTTGAAAAAGAAGATAGACAATTTAATAAAAACTACAAAAAAAGAACTATCTAAATGTCAAACCAATTAACTCTTTAAAAAAATTAATGAGATATACATTTATTGTTGATATTTTCACTAACCATAGCAACAAAGAAGATAATCGACATTTGTCTTGTGTGGTAGGCTTGAGACAAAGGCATTGCAAGATTATTTAGTGTAAAAGTTAATAAGCTATAAATTGAAAAGATGCAGCTAAATGAAAAATTATTTACCTAGTACCAAAAAGAATTAAATAGGTTGCCATGTATGTATAAATAAATTTCATAGGTAGGTACACTGTTTAGTCTAGGTCAGTGGTTCTCAACCTTCCTAATGCCGCGACCCTTTAAAACAGTTCCTCATGTTGTGGGTACCCAAAATCGTAAAATTTTTTCCGTTGCTAATTAATAAATTTTCATTTTCCGATGGGCTTAGGCGACCCTGTGTAAGGGTCGTTCGACCCCCAAAGGGGTTGGGACCCACAGGTTGAGAACTGCTGGTCTAGGTCATTTCAAATATTGATATAATTTTCTTACTTGTAGTTGTAAGTAATAACTCACCCATCTTTTATTTGTTGGATGTGAACCCTTGAATTGTTCCAGCCCTGCTTGTATTGTGTATCAGTGTGTAATGGACACATGGACTATTTAAATATGTATAACTATAGTCATTTTGTATTTGATATAATTAACTGTGACTGACATAACTATTAATTATTTGCATTGACTAATTTTTTGCTGCACATAAATCCCTGTACTGTACATTTCTAACCATGTTTGTATTTTAAATATACATGTTATAGGTACACAAGCTGTGCAAGTACACAGACCTTGCATTTTCAGTACAATAAAAATTTTATGAATTTTGTTTCACCTTTGAAAAAAATTGAGTCTGTTCTCTTATGTGTGGGTATGTGTTGAGTGAGATTAAGTGATTTACTGTTACAGATAGTTACAAAAATGGCACTTTTGAAAAAAAAGTCAAAATACTCATATAGTAGCTCATGTAATGCAATGTGTCTACCTCCTTGATTAGAGTGGTAAAAAATGCACATAACCAACAATTATTCTCTAGGTTATGTATATGTATGGCTGTGACTCCACGCGGAAAATAAAATTAGCACTTAGGATTCTCATAAAGTTCGTTACTTGGTTGTTGTTTTTTTACACTCACAAAATTTACATTGTCTGCAATTGAGTTTATTCATATATCATACTTGATTGATTTTCTATTATTTAAGAAAAATGCAGTATTGATTTTTGATAAACAAGGTCTATTTTTTTAATGAGAAAGCCCTGTGTGGGGTTGGTTGTCGCACGCTGAAGACAAAAATTTGGTATCCTTCAGCTTAATACAACTCATATCGACAGAGTTCAATTTTACTGCAATCTAATCAAAATGGTGAGCCAAAATGTAAAAGTATAGCAACCCACCCCCACTCTCCCCTACTATGGAGTGCTGCATTCGTAGAGAATGATACTCTACATTTTTGGTCAGGAACAATAGATTTTTTACCATCTAAAACATTCTAGATCTTTTAAAATTGCAGATGAGGCTCAAGCTCTCTTACAACTCATCTTTTTATCATGCAATTCTATTTCATTTTAGAAACACTATCAATAATATCTTATCAAGTACAGACAAGAAGAATAAGTCAAACAACTAGCAAAAGAATGTGATCATTTCTTGACCTGCTACCTGAGAGTAATCTTTAGCTTATGTGCCACAGACATCCGGATGACACTTTGGAGCTTCCAAGATGTAAGGTATGACAGAGCTCTGTCATGAGACAGGAAATGAAGTCGATAGCAGCGACTGAACCGACCTGTACTGGCATCATTATACAGATCGATGAGTGTTACCTTAACAACTAGATCTCCAGCTGCGCAACGAATGATTTCGTACAATTCACTTTCTGCGAAGTCTCCATTTTCCCAAAAACTTAAATCATGTGCAAACTTCATGGGGTACAAACTGAAAGGTGATAACTTCTTTGGGAATTCACCTTCTCTGAACTGCTGTGTGAACTTTGAACTTGATGAATACAAAAGTCTGGGATCCATAATACAGCAGATGTTGGCTACAATGGCATCAAGTTTGATAAGACACACACAGAACATATTGCCACCTCTGGTCACATTTAAAACAATACCTATAGATCTGCCATCCACCTCATCACCAGCAGGTTGAATGTTAATAAATTTGATATTGTTAAGATAATCAGATTTATTCATTTCAATAACATCAGAGTTTGAGCTACTGACTTGTAAAGACAAAATGAAACCTGAGAATAAATTTGAGCCATGCAGTGCAGAAAGTATACAACTTGAAGCCAATTCATACTCAGGAATATTGGAATTAACTAAACCATCTGTTGACTTAGTGAAGGCAGGACTTTCTGAGGACCTTGTTAACTGTTCATCTTTGAGTTCACCACCAGACAACTTTTGAACTATGATCATCTCATGCTGGAGTGGAACAAGATCTGGTTGTATTGAGCACACAGCTAAACATTGGCCTGACATCAACACACAGCTGCTGGCTGTTGTCAAGCTTTGAACGTGGTCAGCTGGGTTACAAGCTGCAGAGCCGCCACTCCCCCCTGTTTCACTGCCATCAGTTAAAGTGAAAAGCATCTCTAAATTCTCCAGGAGAGATGTTCTGTAATGATGTACTCTGTTTGTATCTCTTATGTCATCAACCATATCACTATCCTCTTCAGTTTTTAATTCGGTCCTTGTTCCATCGTGACTAGTATCTTCAGATAAAATACTGGGGCTGTTCTGTTGATCTAAACCAGGCTCTGGTATGACCCCATCAGTCTCCCTCTCTGACAATGAATTCATGTTTTTGATAAGAATATAAACGGACTCGGGGTTTCCAGGGATGAGTCTTTGTAGGAAAAGACTGGCGTGACTGCTGGCATCTTGCGTTGGACTGACATTTTCTTGTGAACCATTTTCAACACCGTGTTTCAGTTCTAAAGTCCTTTGATCTTTCATCATTGTACAGATATTAGCCTCATTCTTTTTCTCTTTCATTCGCTCAAGAGAGCCCCCGATGCTCAAATCGACATCATTTTGAAGAGTCTCTCTTTTACCTTCAGCAGCAAGCTGATCACTTCTAAGAACAATTTTGGATTGATGACCTTCCACAACACACCAGGCTTGTTTATCGTGAACTAGATTTGCATTCATGTGGACTTTAAAAGATTTCTCTAATCCTCTTCTGACCAAACACAGGGGGTTGCTCTCTTCCAGTAACAAGTTTCTGGTAGCAATACAGAAATAAAAATGTAATTTATTGTAATTATATGTAAAGTTTAATGATAAATGATAATATATATAAAATAATTTCCTTGAGAAAACAAAAGACAATGCTTAATATAAAAATCCAGAGCCTTCCATCAAAGTTACTGATATTTTTTTTTCTCTATGTCTACTACAATACAGAAAGCCTGTTTGTTAAATATAAATGTATAAAAAATGTAATTTGATAGGACTTTTGATTACTTGTGTGACAGATTAACTTTTATTTTATTTTGTCTTAGACTTGAAATGTTTCCCCCCCAAAAATCTATATCAATCACATATTTTCTTAATCAAGACACCCAAGACATACAAGGATGGCAATGACTGAGACTAACAAGGTTGGCGATAAAGTTTCCTGAGTTGTACATAAAATCAGTGCTTCCTATCAATGAAATGAATGAACTGAATGAAATGTGTAAACAACAAGACAATAACTTGGCCGACCTGCTCAATTTATCAGCTATATACTGTGAGCAGGAAAATGTGCCATCATCCAACGAGAAGACTCCTCTGCCTCTAAAGTCATCCTGCACACTGACAATGTCAGCTTTCTCAAAGATGTGAGTCAAAGCCCCTTCTGTGTTAAAACTCTTGTCTTGAAATCTTTAAGGTGTTCATGGAACAATTTACATAACAACAATTTTTATATAAAGATAAACACAAAGAAAAAAAAATAATTTCACAATTCAATATACGAAGGAGTTAAATAGCTATTTTTTCCCCTATTATTTTAAGATTTGGACCTCAGTTAAAAAATTATAATGAAATTAAAGGATCGATTAAATTTAAAAAAAAAAAAATTATAACTGAATCACGATTTGTCCTCAATAAAATTCTAGATTTACCTAAAGCCAACACTATGATAGCCTGGGTAGAGACTGTCATTGAAGGGAACAGCTCTAGTCAGAATAAACCCAGCATTGGTGGCCATGGCGAGGACCTGCCAACTGTCATGCCACGACCTTAATGGCTGGTCAGCTGGGGTTCCACCTTGACCTTTGCACAAAGTGACCATGACTTGACCATTCTCTGCCAAAATCTGGGAACAACTGGAATCAAGAAAAAAACATTTTATGATTTAAAAAACATAAAATTTAACGATCAGACACACACACAATTCAGATAATGTATTTTTTAAATTAAAAGACACTGTAACAAAAATGAGTTAAAAGACACTGTTATAAAAATAAGTTAACCTGAAGAAAAAGTCTGCAAGTAAAGATCTGTTTTTCTTGATGTTGTGTCTGTCAGCCAAAGGAAAGTTGAAGATGATTCGATGATAGTATTTCTTATTAATGACAGGGTGAGTGTGCAGTTCACAAGCATCTGTCTCCAGTAATACAGTGGCACCTTTAAAACAGAGTTTAGGTGGATTGATAAGATTTTTTTCTTTTAAAAAAATTGAGCAAAAACAAGTCTTTTTAACTTTGGATGAATATGTAAGATTATAAATGACATTTTTAAGGAAACAGAACTACATTTAAAAACCAAATTCATAAAAACAACAATAAAAGTTAAGGTGTTCCAAGATCTCAACATAGAAAACATGTTTTGACAATTAGGGACTCATTTCATGTGGGCAAATTACCTTGGCAGTGTGGGCTGACATGTAAAAAAAAATTTTAATATGGTGTTCAAATTTGTATTTTCCATAACTAATTAGAAATATTCCCAAGTGAAATTTTAATAATACACTTTAGGATTGCATTGGCTTCACGTTTAAAAGACTACTGGTAGTAATAAATGTCATTTACTCATATTCATTAGGGCAGTCATATTTTCTGCAGCTTGCTTATGCTGTTGAATAGTTTCAGGAGTCTCAAGATTTGAGGTTGTAATTTGGTTACCAACTACTGAAGTATGTTTCAAAAGTGAAACTGTAAAAGAGAAATCGCCATCTCCGACCAAGAGAATATGACCTTCACATGGAGAATCCATAATTTTTCTGTGTTTTGCAAGTTCTGAAAATATAGGAGTAAATGGACAAATATTTTTTAAATTTAAATAAAGAAAGTATCAAGCTTACTGAGAATGAGAATGTATTGAGACACATTAGACCTGGCAAAATGTTAAAAGATTTTTAAAATGTATAGTATACTCATGCCAGTCAACCTCATGAGATAAATAAAATAAACATGAACCATCCAATTTAGTGTTGGAAAAAAAAATGATATGGATGGGTCCATTGGAGGTAAAAACTACAATTTTAGGCTATTACTATCTGGATGATGTCTCACACATCTAGGAGGGGGTCATGAATTTAAATTTATGTATAATGAGGGTTCACAATTTGGGTTGGGTGGTTGTTGCTAACAGCATTTATTGATGGCCCCTGCCCTAAGCCTGAGATGATAGACTGATAGAGTGTTTATATTTATATATTTAGGCTGCATGCTGTCCATTTCTCAGTCTTGCAATGCATGACTTTTAATATTAATATGTTTATGAAAATATTATTTAATAATATTAAATAGGCACTATTAAATTAATAACTTATTAATTAAGCATATAAATATAATTATAAACTTTATAAAGAAATGGTCTTTTTATATTAAATACATAAAATATGACAAATGAATATGATTATGATGAAAAAAAGTTGCTTTTTTAAAAGTTTTTGATTTTGACTTTGTCAAATTTGTGACCGAAATATGCTACGGCTCCAAGTAATTAACTAATAAAATTGTTGCTGACTAGAAGAATAGGGAATAGGCCGAATAAATAGGGAATATAACTTATAACTTTAAAATTACTTTATTATTTATTTTCCTAAGTCTAAGTTAGTCTAAGCATGCCGTGGCCGTGTATCATGACTTTATACTTTATAGCCTACTTATATGGATTCGCAGAACCCTGATTTATATCAATTTAAAATTAAATTGTAATAAATAAATAGCCTATAACTATAATTTATAATTAGTAGTATTTTAATTTTTAAAATTATTAAATTCTCCTTAACTTACCCTTACGCCTTACTTAGACTTAGCCTTATTAACTACTAACTAGCCGACTCCCGATTGTCAGTATTTATATTAAATTTATATTATTAATTTGTTACTCTTAAAATTAAAATCAGTCTTGGCTCCAATAAGTATCACTTAATCGTTATCAATAACTGAGTAAGCCAGCCTACTATTACTAGAAAGAGTCTTCCCTAATCCTAAGAGCCCCTGTTTGACTGAAATTCAAGTTTAAAACAACATAATTTAATAGCATTTAGTTCATTTAGGCTTTAGTGATGAGTGAGTTGCTACATATACCGCCAAGGTAAACCTAATGCACGAATTCTAAACCCCGGTTTGCGAATCCTAGTCACCGTTAGAGAACAAAATTCTTGATTATTCGAGGTATAACCAAGAAGATCCACAAAATGAATTGGTGGGCCCACCGAATTGGTGATTACTTGTATTACGAGAGTTTAGGGTGAAAATTTGAAACATTAAAATAGATCTTTTTTAAATAATGGAGGCGTAGGGTACAAAAGTACTGACAAAATTTATACATGAAAATAACATTTAGGACTAAGGAGTGACCAATATTTATAACAATAACAACTTCTTAACTGACGCCTTTTTAGTCATATGACTTTAATATCTCTGAAGTTTTGGAGGGCATTAATTTTAGAGGCCTACTTATAGTACATTTTTGGAAAAGACGTTTTTTTTTTTTAATTATTTTTTTTAAATTTATTTTTTTTAAATATTGAATATTGTTTTATTTTGTAATTTTTATAGTCTTGGAAGATGTCAGTGGTGACCTTTCTGTATTAAAAATGTTGTCAAAATTGATTGTTATCAGGAACGAGTAACCATGCATACGGAAATGCTGAAGTGAAAACCTGATTCCCTATCACTTTCTATTCCTGAGATTTCTTCAGAAATCACTCAAAAATGAGTGGAGGTCCCTGGTAAATTCTGATCATGAAGGGTTGTATTGTCATCGAGAGTAGGTAAGTGTAAAGTTGCAGCTAAATTGGAGATCAGGAAGTGAGTCAAAATTGAGATTCCAGATTTGACCTAAAGAGGTCACCCAATGGTCAGTCGAGGTCACTGGTGATCTACTGAACATGAAGGGTTGTATTGTCATCAAGGGTGGGTAAGTGTACAAAGTTTCAGCTCAATTGGACATCAGGAAGTGCGTCAAATTCGAGTTACAAGATTTTACCCAGTCAAACAGACACAAGCTAAATAAAAATGTGTTAATAAAAGTAGACATTTCTGATAAGAAGCTTTCCACATCAAAAATACAGAGACAGACGAACTTAACAAATATAGATATTTAGTAGACATGAAATGATGGGCCCATTCTATTCCGTAAGTTGAAGACACACATAAGTATAAGTTGTATTGAGCTTATTATAAGAACATAATAAGCTACGAAGCTCACCAAGACCACTTTTTTTTCGGAATTATATTGAAATGTAATCTAATCTTACCTTAATTAAATTACGATATGATAACAGAAATTGTTAATGTATTAAGTAGGTATTATAATATGATGCAGAACCTCTTCTAGAGGTGTATCCACTTTACCCAACTATTCTCAAACTATAGTTGGCTATAGAGTGTTCAACTGTTCACATAAACATACAAATATGTTAAACGTTAAAATCTTTGGAGGGTGATGTGGAAAGACATGAAGCTAGCTTAGAATTCAGACTTGATTTCAATTACAATCCTTTTCTTAAGTCACCATTGTGTTGCTGTTAAGTCATTATTAAGCCCCTAATCAGAAAGACATTGGTGTATCTGTAACCAGCTTGATAATTAATTGTCCCTGCCACCCACCCCCAAACCACTTCCAACCACCAATTAAAAAAAAGATGTGAATAGAACCAATGGATTCTCTACATATCATATTTTATTTTGGACAATATAAAATCCTTGTACAGCGATGTACAAAACAACATATCCATTATAAAATATTTAACAATGTTCTGTATAGGAAATATGCAAATTACAACTTTAGAAAAATTGTAAATTGTAAGTTGATTGTCGGTTAAAAGAGATAGAGAACACTTAACAACAAAGTACCGGTAATTGAATATTTATTATTTTCTTTCATCTGCAACAAAAAAAATATACATTATTAATGGATCATATTTGATATGACCTATGTAAATAGAAAATATTAATACAGATGACTTTTATTATTTTTATTTATTTTTTTGTAAAAAATGTAATGAAATTAAGTTTCTATAAAATTAAAGTTAGATTGTAAATGCTTCTGAATTATGTGTAAATAGATTACTTACATTAACAACCCATATTATTGTCATAAAGTCCAATGAATAACACAGTATGAATCAGCAAAAAACAAGCTTTTATAGCAACCAGCATGATTAAAGAGAGTATTATGAAAGACTGTGAATAAGTTGTGCAGTTAAAGGAGTATTCAATGGCATAATTTTGAAAAGAGATGAATAATGGTAATTTGAGAAATTTGCATCAGAACATGATTGACCTTGAGTCTTGAGTTTTAGTTCTTGTAATACATCGTAATAGTAATCAAAAGCGTGTTTGACAATGCCAAGAAAAATTGTATATACTAGTTGCATTTATAAATGTAAATTCTTATATAGTCATAATTATTATTAAAATTTTAATATATAAGCCCATATTATGCAAATTAAAATTTCTCATAAGTTCTAAATGATATCAAACATTTCAAAGTCATTTTTAACAAATACAAATTATAATAAACTTTATATATCATCCATTATGTCTATTGGGATTTTTTTCTGGAATTTTTCAGCACTTCAATCATGGGATTCATTTTAATACTAATGATATCTACCAAAACATCTAACTAATTTCTAGCACTTCAATCGTTAAATTCCCTTTAATTTTACTAATAATATCTACCAGTACTATTACATCTAACTAATTTCTAGCACCTCAGACATGATGTTAATGTCTGTGTAACTGCTGAAAATTGAGTACTGTCAATAAAGACTGAAAGATGATATAGATAAAGATGATATTCTTATAGATGAATATTATGCTTAACACAGTGTGTCAACACACCAGTGTAAACAAAAATTATGGGTCTGTGCTATCTAAAGTTGGAAAATGCATGTTGACTTTACGCTTAATACTATTTTTGAAACATAAGTGAAGTCGTTTTATTTTATTTTTAAAATATATTTACTTTTCCAATAACTATAGTATGACAAAATGACTAGAAGTATCAGAACTGGACAAACTCACCCCCAAAAAAACTGAATGATATTTATAGACATATTGGGAAAAAAGTATAGTACGGTATATCATGACCAAAAAAATGAATCTGGTCCTAAAAAATTATGCAAAAAAATTTAAGAATCAAAATATTTAACCCTCTTGAGAAGGAGCTTTTTTTAACTATTGGTGCGAAGATCAAACAGACAGAGCCCTTTTTGCAAGCCTTGCACTTACTTTGCAAATTAAACTAATTACTTGACACATATATATTCTTGTGAGAAACTGAATGAATTAATATGAATCAAACTGAAATCCCAAATTTATGCAAATGAGTTGTGTGATTTGCAAGAAATGAAAGCAGCAATCTGATTAACTGGGAAAAAGACCATCCAGCCAATCTCCAGGCTTGTATTATTGGGCTGATAAATCAACCTTTCATATTTTTTTGCTGATAGATCAGCCCAGCTATCTCAAGAGGGTTAAAGAACAATCTTTCAAATTTAATATGGTCAGTAATTTCTTAAGGCACGATAAACAATAATATTTTCAAGAAAGCTGAATGAAAAGATGAAATTATAAAGGGGTCCAAGAAAAAATATGAATAAAAAATTTGATGGTGAGAATAAATAGTTATACATTCTTTTTTTCATTGCCAAAAAGAAGAAATTACTTAATTACTACAAAAGTCTATCATTCACCCACAGGGATGTGGTGCTAGGCAGTGAGTGAAACTGTAAAAACCACTCACCACTGTTTAAAAAAAATACTTATGGAAAATTCTTTTATTAAAAAAAAATTGTCATTTATTTATTAGTCTATTGTTATACATGATAGATAACGTCTCTACATATGGTATCACATCCAAACATTTGTCCTAGACCAAGGTTGTTTGGAGGGTAGGATCATTGTAAGTACCAGTATATCCCACAAAGCTCCTCACATTGTATCAATATTTGAACGGATTGATTCTTCTTACACCCTACAAAACAACATCTTTCATCAACATTAATTTCATTGTATGTATGGACAAATAAATGCAAAACTTATTTTTATTTTTTTGGGTTGGTGGGTAAGAGGTTGGGGGGAGGGGGTTTCCAGATGACATGGGGAAGCACATTTCATCATGTTAGCAATTACATCATGTAGTTAGGCTTTTTAAAAAAGTGAATGAGATCCCCTGTATTCTAGGTGTGCCTGCTCAGCAGACAGATAAGACAAAATGTATGCAGACTTTTGTGACAAAATGATATCTCACAATTTGATAACATAACATCTCGCCATCAGTGAAGACTGGACATACACATATTGGAACTGACACACAATTATTAAACGACGTTGCACCATCTGTGAAGAACTTGACTTACTGGCCCTGACAACATGGTACTATCAGTGAAGCACTGGACAAGTTGGGCCTGACACACAGCACTTGTGAAAAGCATGTTCTGATGAGTAGGTGAGTTCGATGTTAATTCTTTTTTTTTTATTGATGACATATTTTTTTACGAATAAATATCAAATATTTCTAAGTTTTTTAAAATTCAAATTTTTCCTATTTTAACAAAAATAATGTCAAACTTGGAAAGAGCATTACAGCGTTTTTATTTTTTGCTCTGCTTTACAATAATTATATAATTTTTTTTGTTAAAACAAATAACTTACTGCAAGGGAACACAACCACTCCTTGGACTGTAAGGGACATAACACTCTTCAGTGGAATGTTGCATAACAAACAGGGGCTTTTGATAAAAAAAGTAAATAATATCAAGTTTAATTTTGTTTTCTTATTCTTGGTCATCAAAAGAAATTTTAATTCATTAATAGTTTAATGATATACATTCATAATTATAAACATTATTTCAGTATAACAGTTATTTTGTTTACCATGATAAATTACAAATTTTAAATAATTTTTGTAAAAATTTTTTATGCGTAAGTAATTAGCGATTCAATTGTAATAAAAATATTTCTAAAATCAATTACCTTGAAATATCAACTTCTTGACCCCAGTGACCACCCAAATGTTCGGACATGAGCTCATGGACATCTAATGATTGAACTTGATTAAACTAGAGGCAGACAA